TCCACTTTAGCAAAATACTCCGTATGTACTCTTGCTTATATTGCAATTCATCTCCACCAGTTTACTCTGACAATGTCTGATTAACGATCTATAATGGATATATCCAGATGTTTCCGGTTGCAGTGACATGTGGTAACACCTTTGTTTTAAAGCCATCCGAGAAAGATCCGGGTGAGCTCGAGGTCTTTTTTAGCTTGCTTACGTCTCACTGGCCATGGGCGCAATTGTTATTATAATTTCACTTCGTTATGAAGCATAGGCAGTTTAAAGCTCTGGCAGTAATGCCTGTAACAGGCATAATGAACATCATCATGAATTATGATCTCTTCTTCATTGAATGAACTGCAATTTGGTTGATGGTTTCGTATTTTCAATTGCTTTTCTATTTTAGCTCTTTTATTCATTCTACTGTCTTCTACTCTGCAAAATCATGTTCAGAATTATTTCTTCTGGTCTTTCTAATAATTTCCTTTCTTCCTACGTTCCTTGTGTCTATGTCAGGGGCTTCCATCATGCTAGCAGAGTTAGCAATGGAGGCTGGTTTGCCTGACGGTGTACTCAATATAGTTCATGGAACAAATGTACGATCCCAACTTTGCCTCGATGATGCCACAATTGAAATTATTGTTCTTTTGTGTTTTATTTCTAGATTGGACTTGGCAATAGACATGACAATATAGGGGTCCTTCTGGCACTGCCATGTCTTTTGGTTATCCAATATAATCATTATACTGCAGTAGCCCCATTATGGTTCATTCTTTTGCTTAGAGAAACTTATTCATTGGGAGAAAAGAGTATGATATCAATAGATATGGTGCGACTCCAGTACTTCATCCAAATGAATTCGCTTTGATTTTCTCTTTTGGTATATGTTGTCATACTTTACTATACTCGTAAGGACCTGAAGATTACGACATAAACCACTTTTAGCTTCTAATCCGGAATATTTCTAGTATCTTGTTACATCTTAATTTGAATATCTGCAAAGATTCCTGGTCTAAATAGCTTCTGCTATAATAATGTTACGTCAATTTAGTTTTACAGTGTATTAGGTCTCAAATTGTACGTGTTAATTGAAATTCTATTTTTCTAATTCAAGTTTATGGTGGTGTGCCTCGGCAGGATATCGTCAATGCTATTTGTGATGATGACGACATCAGAGCTGTGTCATTTGTTGGTTCCAATACGGTGAGTCAACTTGTGGAGTTTAATCCGTTTGTCAGTCGCACATGGCATTTCAGTGGATGAGGACAAGTAATTCTTTTTTAACTGACTATCACCATCATGTGTCCTTTCATATTGACTAGTCTTAGAAGATAGTTTGCAAAGGATTTTGAAAACATTACTGATGAGATGCACCGCAAGTACCACTACATCTGCATGAGTAAATGTAAAGCCACTTAAGTCCACGAGTTGCAAAGGCCAGGATAATATGATTAGTCATACTTGAGTTATCTTTTGATGTGGTGTTTCATATGATTTGAAGGCTGGCATGCACATATATTCAAGAGCATCAGCCAAGGGAAAACGTGTTCAAGTAAGTGCGGAGTCATACTTTTATTGAGTTATAGTGGAGAAATTGAATTTAGAGAATGTGACGCACTTACCATATTCGCTCTCCAGTCAAATATGGGGGCCAAAAACCATGCCATTGTCTTGGCTGATGCAAGTGTTGATGCAACTTTAAACGCTCTAGTTGCTGCTGGATTTGGTGCTGCTGGACAGAGATGTATGGCGCTGAGCACAGTGGTTTTCGTTGGAGAGTCAAAGTCATGGTAATCTATGTGTTTCCTGTCAGTTTCTCTGTTGTCAAAATTTAGACTTCTGGATGTGCTCTCTCTTAATAGGATGTTATGTAGAATCACAAATAGGACACTACAGACTCATCAGGAAAATTTCTCTGTCCTTGTTACGTTGGCATCGTGTTCACGTGCTTGTCTATTGTTAGCATACCCCTGTTAAACAGTTTTTCCAGGGCCTACATTGAAGTGGCTGCAATCCATCTTGCCTTTTCTCTTTCATTTCTAAAGATGCTTGTACAGTTGCATAACTAGGTGAGCACCTAATGATTAGTGCAACACCATTGCTCATGCTTAATTCTTAAAAAATGCTAGTGGACAAAAAGCTAACTCTAAGACTAACATGTGCAAAGGTAGTTTGCTATTGATATTGTTTGGGATATTCAATCTCATGAAGTCCTGCATTCGCTTATTAATATATCGATAAGATGATAAAATCTTTTCATAATCTCTATCGATATAGAAGCATTGAGTATGGTTGCAGCTCGCAAATGACTCGAACATTGAAAAAGATTTTACATATCAAAAGAAGTAGGGCTTGGATTACTCACTTTCGGTCCTTCGTTTTCTTTTCTTTTGATGTTTGCCTCACCGGACTGTTCACTGGATTAATCAAAACGAAATTCAAAACAACTAAGGTTAAGTTTCTGCTCAGCTGTTTCTGCTGGTTGCAGTGTGTATGTTTCACCTACCTATTCATGCCTCCTGCTTTTCATTTTCTATTGTCAGTCAAGTTTTCTTTTAGATTTCAGTGAGCCTTTCTTGTCCGATATTTAGATTTTGCTTGTTTTTGCATCAAAACACTTTAAGTGTTACGAGAGTGTTCTGTGTAGTCATTGTCATAAGTGTAACTATAATCTCCTTGGCTTGTATGTAGTATGTCGGTGTGGAAAATGTGTTGTAAGATAAGTTGTTTTGAACATAGAATCCCAACTGCAAGTTTTCAATGTGATTTTTTCAGGGAAGACAAACTAGTGGAGCGAGCACAATCACTTAAAGTGGATTGTGGAACCAAACCTGATGCAGACCTCGGTCCAGTTATTAGCAAGCAAGTAAGTAGTACGCGTTCAAAAACCTATTGACATTTTGAGCACGTCCGGGTTATTAATATTTTGATGATGGAGAATAATTGTCAAACTTGCAATTGATTGGTCCTGTGGCTGTACTTGTGCTGGTAGTTTGGATCTTTGTAAATGATGTCATAATTCATTCACATGGCATGTGCGTTTATTCTATTTGCAGGCAAAGGAACGGATATGCAACCTGATACAATCTGGCGTCGGTGATGGTGCCAAACTACTGCTTGATGGGAGAAACATAGTGGTAAGCTATGTCATATGAAATTTATTGGTGGCACCTATGTGATGCTATGTTGCATTACCTTCATAATTTGATTATTAAGCAAATAATGCAGTTAGCGGAGGGGATTCTTCATGAGATGAAAAAGAAGTGGAATTTATTTATGCATTAATGTTGTTACAATTATGTTCTCATTGAATTTGTGTTTGATATTAGTTCTATACTCTGGTAAAATTCCATCCTTTGTTTTCTTTTAAGTGAACAATGAATATTGACATCCTCGAAACAAAAAAATATGTGGTACATCTTACAGAATGAAGCTATAATATAGTTAACTTACAGAGGAATGCAATGAAAATTTCGAATGGTCACATCTCAGGTCCCTGGGTATGAACATGGTAATTTCATCGGGCCCACCATCTTGGCTGATGTCAAGCCTGACATGGACTGCTACAAGGTATCTTCATTTAAGTTATCTAGCCATTTGTTTATAAAATTTGAAAAAAAAAAATCGTCTATCCTTTGACAAGTGCTTGTATTCACTCTTTCAAATGATTCTGAAAAGTTCTGATTCTAAATGAGCAGGAGGAGATCTTTGGCCCTGTTCTGCTTTGCATGCAGGTCTGCTTACATATTAGCTTCTCTGAAACACGTTTCTAGTTGATTGAAATGGATGTTCACTAACCTGTACTTGTGCTTTTCCATTTGATTTGCAGGCCAACAGTTTTGAAGAGGCCCTGGACATTGTCAACAAAAACAAGTATTTCTATTTCCGCAACGAGTCATGATTTTTTGTGGCTTGGAACAAATTACTCATGCCGGTCTTTTTTTCCCCCAGATATGGAAATGGAGCATCTATATTCACAACATCTGGTGCAGCTGCAAGGAAATTCCAGACAGAGATTGAAGCTGGACAGGTACTATAGTTCTCTTGAGCTGATAATTCTTTCTCGCTGCATTCAATGGAATGCGATATAGGTAGACCTAGGCAATTAGTTTCGTACCAAGAGTAACAAGGGTCAGAGGAGAAAATCTCACTTTTGTAAATTAGTGGCTTGCAGTTTATTAGAGGGAAAACAATTTTTCTCCCCTGGCTTGTGTAGTTTTAATTCCTAGTGGAACTTGCATGTCACAAATGTCTGACATAACCTGGTGTCGATTTAGGTTGGCATCAACGTTCCTATCCCAGTTCCTTTGCCCTTTTTCTCTTTTACTGGTTCCAAGGCTTCATTTGCGGGTGACCTTAACTTCTATGGTAAGTTGCTCTTTTCCAAAAACTCTAAATGCATAGAGAGTGCATGCCTTTTAATCTGGACTGTCCACTAATCTTTACTTTGTCTCGATTTCAGGCAAGGCCGGGGTTAACTTCTACACCCAGATCAAAACCGTGACTCAACAGTGGAAAGATTTGCCTAGTGGAAGTGGAGTTTCGCTGGCCATGCCAACTTCTCAAAAGTGATCTTGTGCATCAGACTGTAATTCTCCCTGGACCTTCTTGGAAAACCTTTGAATAAATCAATGTAAAGAAATCTTCTTCCTTGCAAATTCAACTCCTTCTGTACTGGCTCTTAGGCTATGTTTGGTTCGAAGAAACGGAAATGGATTGGAATTAATAAACGAAAGGAATGGATTAAGAAAGGAAAGTCATGGAATTGGAATTGGGATGAGTTTCTAGCAAGACTACTTTGCTGGTGTACTCTAGCAAGACTACTTTTTTTTAGGGGTTACGACATATCTGAACTTTTTCCTGTTTTACAATCGAATACCTGAACTTTTTTGTTGTTCGATCAAGTATCTCGACTTTTCAAATGTGTCTCGATGTGAGAACTTATTTCAACTGAAATTCACATACAAATGCTCAAAAAAGGAACTACTGTTGGCCTCTCTCTCTTTCAACAATTTTCAAGATCCTGAAACTATTTTCAACAGAGTCCTGAAGTCCTCAGCAGCTCTGCCATTAGGTCCGGCCGCCACTTGAACAAGCTCTTTGAGCGCGCAGACCTTCTCTCTCATCTCCTTACCTGCTTGATCGGCCAAAATAAGCTGGAGGCTTTTGAGAACACCCTTCTTTGTAATGGCCCCGCCTTCAACACGGACACCAATCTCCCACACCTCCTCCACAATTCTTCCATTCATCCTGTGATCTCCAAAGAAAGGCCTGCATATCATCGGCATCCCATTCGCCACGCTCTCATACACAGAATTGCTCCCGCAATGAGTTACAAATACGCCGGTCGACGAGTGGGCTAATACTTCGATCTGTGGAGCCCATGAAACTACGATGCCTCTTGCGCCGATTCTTTCGAGAAACCCGCTCGGGAGTTTTTCCTTCGAATTGCCCTGTAGGGACCAAATGTAAGGGACATTACTTTCTTCAAGTGCCTCTGCCAAGGCATGAAGCTCGTTTTCAGGAAGTATTGCTAATGTCCCGAATCCTATATATGCGACGGATCTAGGCTTTTGCCTTTCTAGCCAAGATATGCAGTGGCTGTTTATGTCAGCTTCCGATGGCGGAGACCGTGGCTTCGGAGGCGGTGGTAACGATAAGGTGAGAAAACCCAAGTACAGCAAGTTTGGCAAAGTACTCCTGAGACTGTTTGTGAGAGCAGTAGGATCTAGTTCATGATAGAAGTTCATGACAATCGCGCTAGCTCTTGGCAATAGAGCTCCAAGGTTACCCAGAATTCCTACCAGATCCGATTCTAAGTCACCCGGCGCGAGAACTCCTTCCGGCAAATCTTCGACGAGAACTTCGGGCACGTCCGGGATGACTCTGTGGACACGTTCATTATTGACATCAGGAATTGCAGTAAGAGAGTTCGAACATATTTGCTGGATCAGGCGGATGTTTGTGTATACATAGAGGGGATACGGCATCGAAATCCACACTAGGATCCACGGAATGCGCATTTCTTCCGCCAATTCTCCGGAAAACGATAAGAACACATCCGATATCAAGCAGCTGATCCCCATACCCGTCTCCGCAACTGCTACACCCATGGCCTTCCTCATGTTCTCGGGCGCGGCCCCGAGGAATAAATTCGCGGGTTCGTGCGGGTTCCCTGTGAACGCATGGTCCGATGGCGTGCCGTCCTCTACGTCGTAGGCTGTTATGTTGTCTGGGAGATTGTTTTCTACTTGCGAAAAGATCAGTTGATTCGATCTTGCCGTGCTAAAGAACGAAAATCGTGCATCGAGCATCGAGGCCTGCGCTAACCGGCACACTAGTCCTAGGAGAGGCCGAGCATGCCCGCCGAAAGGAAATGCAAGAACAGCGCAATGCCGCTTTCTCTGGCTTTCGGAATGAGATATCGTCATGTGTTCGACAAAACGAATGCTGCGTAGTCACGCTTAACCGGAACCCGAATGTGGATCAGCGCCGGAACAAGCGAAAATGTGTATGGTTTCGCTTCTGCGACGGATCAAATAGAGAGAGTTCACCGAGAAATCTGTACAAAGATGGAGAAGTTCACGTTGTAGATCAATTGTTGTAAGTTTGTCAACTGCAAAATGAAGAACTCAGATATAGGTGTAACGCGTGACTTTGCACTCATTAACTTTCGTTTCTTGATCTGTTGCTTAAATGCAAATTAACCCTCCGTTCGGAAACGTACGTAACAATCTTCCTTCAATCTTCATGGAAAAAACATTATAATAGGCTGAAAATCATATCAATAATCTATTACCGCATTGAATTTATGTAAAGAAGTATCGTCCAAAAAGTCATAAACCTATTGTACATAGGGCAATCCAGTTTTAAACATTTCAATTGCGTCAATTTAGTTCTAAACATTTTGACAATTTGCCAATTCAATCATGAACCTTTCAATTATGTCAATTCAGTCCGAAACCCTTTGATGATTTGTTACTTTAGTCCTAAACCTTTTAACGTTTTGCCAATGTAGTCCTTCCAGCCAAATAACCAAATAATAGGTTTAGGAATAAATTGGCAAACGTTACTAAATTGACAAAAAAAAAAGGTTTATGTGTAAATTGACAAATCGTCAAAAAGTTTAAGATTGAATTGACACAATTGAAAAGTTTAGGATTGAATTAGCTGTCGTACGATAGGTTTATGACTTTTTTGGACAATTATTCATGTAATATAATATATCTATAAAAAAAACAAATAGATTAGAAGTCCTAAAACTTGTCGCGAAAGTGCAATTATTCCTCCCGTCTTCTTTCTCCACTTTGAATTTTCGAATTTTTTTTTTACACTTCTTCGGCTTTGACCTGCCTCTCCGGTGTTTTATTTATTGTAAGTTTGAGTTCTCATTGATATTGCGGCTGATGTATTTTTTAGTGCGGTTAATTCCAAAAAAAAGCACCAATTTTAGGTCGAGGGACAATTTTGACCCGAACTTTTTTTTGTTCCATAAAAAAGCATCAACTTTAGGTCGATGGACAATTATGGCCTGAACTTTTTTGTCTCGTAAAAGGACCAACTTTAGGTCGAGGACAATTCGGCCCGAACTTTTTTTGTCTCGTAAAAAGCACCAACTTTCACTTAAATTCCAAATCGGCCCTTATTGACTTAAAACCATTGATTTTCCAACTTGACTATTCCACCTTAGCAATAAATCCACGTGACTTCATTCGGATTTAAAGCATTATTCATTATCTTATTCTCTCGAACCACAACTTGAAGAATAACGGTGAAACTGTTCGTCTCCTTCACTTCACCAAGTCAAAATATCTCTAGATTGAATCTTTCCGCCAAACTTCGTCGTTTTGTCGTAATCTAAAGTTGTAGACCACCGTCCGTCGACGTACGCCATAGAATAGATTCGTCGGGCTCACCACCATAACTTTTTTCTCAAACAAGGGTAACTTCCAGACAGAAAGTCAATAGGGGGCCAAATTTGGGATTTAAATGAAAGTTGGTGCTTTTTATGAGACAAAAAAAAAGTTCGAGCCAGAATTGTCCCTCAACCTAAAGTTGGTGCTTTTTATGGGAAAAAAAGAAGTTCGGGCGAATTGTCCATCGACCTAAAGTTGATGCTTTTATGGAACAAAAAAGTTCGGGCAAATTGTCTCTCGACCTAAAGTTGGTGCTTTTTTTTGAGTTAACCCTTTTTTAGTGTTGAATTCAAAGGAAAATACCCCAAATAGGCGTAAGTTTTTCCATCAATATGGCTTTCCCTCTGTTTAGAAAGAAAGAAATTTACACATCAGTTTAGATTTTGAACACTATTGTACGCGGTAGGGGTGTGCATTGGTCCCGAGTTGAATCGGGGAATCAAATCGAACCGATTGATTTTGGGTTGTTTCCAATTCCACATAAGGAATCGGACCGAACTGATGGACCGGACCAGATTACTTAATTCTTTTTACTTTTTTACTCCAATGCAAATCATAAATTATACTTTCGTGATGAATGTTAAAAGAAAAGTCAGCTACTCGGAGAAAGCCGATTCGATACGACACTCCAAGATGAAAATGTCATACTTGTCTCCTCTATTTCTTCACGATGACCTACAAAAAGTTAATAGAAATTATTGCCCAATATATTCATTTAATAAATCAATTTGGTTAAGCTTAGCAGTAACCTCTCTCCTTAAATGACGTCGCCTTCGCATGCCTTTGTCGGCCTTCATAGGATTTGGTCCATGCTCAGGAGCCGACAAGTCGTTTCACACGTCTGAAAAGGCGGTGAGTACAAGAAAGAATAAAATTTACAAAAATCATAAAAAATAAAAGAGTTAATATTACGAAAAATTTTAAATCGATACATTTATAATAAATTTACATTATATTAATTTTTTTACCCTCAAAAACCTGAAACTGCTACACCAATGATAAATTTACCCACTGTTAGTTGACACGTGACAAATTTTACGGTCAAATTTCTGAGTTGGAAGATACATGGCAATTGACTAGTGTATATGTGTACTAATTTGCGATTTTTCGTGATATTAATCCAATTTAACAGAGAGTGAAGTTATCGCATGTATATCATTTTTGAGTTTTTTGTTGTAAAAAAATTAATTTGGGATAAATTTGTTATAGGTGTATCAGTTTAAGTTTTTTTTGGTGATATTAAAAAAATAAAATGTGCTGAAAATTTAATTAATGGAGCAATAACTATCCAAAGATCTACTCGCCTTGTGGACCGTACACGTGGCTCGTCGTCATCCAGAAATTTGCAAGTTTCGCAAACGCGTGACATCTTGGGACAACTCGTGAAGATCTTTAAATGCGTGCGTTTTATGCAATGCTTCTGTTAACACGTGTGATGTTACCTAATGAAGTTAATTAATGAAACTCCAAAGTTGTAATTAAAAGAAATTCCACGTCACGATGAGGCAGTCGAAGTATTTAAAGTAAGTCGATGAAAAGGGAAATAATTGAAAAAATTGAGATTTTAATCGCTGAATCTTTTTGTTTTGCGTGAATATAGGTTCGCTTGATTTTGCAAAACGTGATTGTATCCGGACGCCGTTTGTTTTACGGAAAATAAATAATTTATAAAAAAAATTCCTAAAAATAATCGCTCATATCGCTTAAAATAATTAGTTAATGAAAAATGTTCTCATTATCGATGACGATTTATGTTTAAATACTTTCATGGACAATGAAAATATTTTTTTACACGTGATATAAACGATCATTTTTAGAAAAGTATTTATTAAATCGCTTATTTTTCTCGAAACAAACGGAACTTCGGTTTATAAATCTGATTCGTGGGAAAATTTTCCCCTTGAAATAGCTTGTCAAATTGAGGTTGTTTTTGCTGGAGTTGAACGATTAGATCTTCAAATGGAAAACGGCTTGAAACTTACACTTTAGAGCCTTTGCTTGCATTATTATTCTTAATTATCCGGACTTTATGTCGGCTAAACCTGCCAAACGGGTGTGTCAGATCGGGTCGAAAAAGATTCGACCCGAATTGGTCTATTTAACCCATTTTGACCTATTTCCATGCATACAAATCTAATGAATACTTGACCCAACTCAAATTGACTTCTATTTTTAATGCAATCTAAGAAAACCCACACCCAAACTAAGGTGAGGGCACGGAGCAAGCGAACGTGAGATCAAACGAGGACGAGAAAAAGTGAAAAGAGAATCATTTATGTGAGTTTGGTCTAAATAAGTTGTGAACCTATTTAACATTCATATTATTTTGAGCAATATCATTCCAAACCCATTTATCACCCATTGAATATGGGTTTATAACACATTTTGATAGGTTTAATGGACACCATAAAAAAGATTGTATACCTTACCACCACCACCATCATCGTCATCATCTTGATAATTGAGAGGTGCGGAATGTAGAAACCGATTACATCGAGTTGCACGAAACACCCCGAGCGCCTAACGAACAGGTTAAATGCAGGTCAAAGACACATAGCAACTTGGGACGCGGTTAGCTAGAACGAACAACCTCCTATTTATGAATTTGGAAATCCCCTAACGCCTTGACCAATCGCGCTAATCCCAAGGGAATAAAGAACAATTTGAGAATCGCAGTTTTCAATGCGCCATATCTACGGAGCTATATATGGGCACACGACCGGACCATCTAAAATTCTAGTAATTCCGTACTTAAGTTACGTCACAAAACCACGATAATTCAAGAGACATTGGTATGCTTGGAGAAGAAGCCGATCTAAGCGCCAAATTCGTCAAAACCCGAAATGCGAAATTAACTAAGATTCACATGGCTATCGAGAGTCGCACTTCGTAATCCAATTTAATAATTTAAATAGCGTAACGAGATGTCGCGTGAGCGGGAGATAGAATATCACGTGATCCCGTCCGCCGACATCCCTGACATCCTTAGGTTTTTGGGACATGGTTCGGACCTAACCCGCGGATTTTGTTGGAAACGGCGTTGCCTAACGAGGCATTAAGGGCTTAAACCAAGGTGCTCTTGTCCTCCTCCCCCATTTTACCAAAGTACCCCTCGCCATAACGCATTCCATTTAAAAATGCTGCGCAAATTGCGGAACTTTTATAGTTCGAGTCCAGATTACTAAAGTACCCCTCGCCGTACGCCGTATTTCTTACTGATATGCACGGGGGCTATAACGGAACTTCGTGAGGAAAAATTGAAGTTCGATGGACTACACCGTCACGAACTTGCTATACGTATAAAGAGATAATTCGTTCTCGAGCCATAAGAAAATGACACGAACAGTTCCTGAACTTTGATCCAGCATGTAATGTGATCGCCGAACTTATAGTTTGTTTAATGTTGTCTAAGAATATTTGGTACATTTTCAATTTAATTTCTAAACTATATGAAAATGTTCAATGTAGTCCTTCCATTAATTCAAATTCATGGACTACATTGAACATGTATCAAAGGTCCAATGACCACATTTGGACAAATTAAAAGTTCAGGGACCACATTGAGCATTAGGCTAAAATTCAGGGACTACATTGAACAAATTAAAAGTTTAGGGGCCACATTACACGTTGGGCCAAAGTTCTAGAATTGTCTGTGTTATTATCCCTCGAGTCGAAGGAACGTTTATTCTAGCGCCAACACCAGATAGAGATCGGTGCCTTTTTCAATCATACAGTCCTCATGAAATATGTAAAACCGATTATTTAATTATCAAAATCAATACAGATCGATACTTATTCACCAACACAAATCGTCTCCGTTGCAGATTATCACGTGTTTAGCGATTTTTATTATTTGGTTAAACATTATTCTTCAAGCCACGACGCTTGTTTGCATGGTCGGCGGGGACGTGGCAATCCAATTTGTGGGAAGATCTCTTCGTCGGTGATCGCTAACTGGCAGCGTAATCCCTCATTAGTACTCAATTAATGTCCATTAGCCAAAAGACGCAAGAACAGCTTTTAAGCAAGAGCTAAAACCAATGGGGTCCGCAACACTAGTTGTCCATCTTTGATTAGAAGCTTCAAGCAAGAGCTAAAAACCGAAGATTAAGACCTAATTAATTCGGGGTCTCTTCGACATGCACGTTTCGGCTACATTCCATGCAAAGTTTCAATCGCGATCGATGCGTGCATTCTTCGTTACAACAATCGGTATGGATGGATAGAATAACATTGCTTAGGTCTTGCACTTGTAACCCACATTACGTGCAATTTTGGGACGCAATGTACTATGGGCAGCATCGGCATACCACACAGGAAGAAATATAGCTAGGGCGACCCACATTTTCTTTTATCGGAATAATGCACTATTGTCGATTAAGACTTTGCGTAAGCATACCAAGATTCCGTTATCTTTATAAGGTCGGTCCAAGAAATTTAAAGTCATCGCGTGCGATAATGGGAATCTTTCCTTAAGACGATTTCTTTTTCTGTTTTGCTCTTTTTCTCCATGTATGTAGTTGCCTTTTCGTTTCGATTCAGAAGAAATAATTTTCCCAAGATCCGCGGCATTATCGTTTGGATGTGCAGTTGCTTATGATAGATGATAATGGATATTAATTAGTAGTATGCGAAAGAGAATTGATTTGAAGTAATTTAGGAAATGGAATTTTAGATTTCTGCAATATTTAGAATAACTAGACCGGTCAAAATGGATCATAAAACCATTTATTAACCCATCATTCATATATATAATGGGTTGAGTTATTATATAAACTAGTTATATTCGGTAAATGAATAATAAACGAGTTTAAACATCGGTCATAAATGGGTCGTAAATAGGTTTACGATTTAACCTAAACTCAACCCATTCTCTCTTGATCTCATGATCAGTCACTCTGCACTCTCATTTCAGTTTTGGTATTTGTTTTCCAATGTTGGATTAAATATGAAAGTATTTTAGCAATATGAGTTGGATTGGTATAGGTCAATAGATTTGTATTATGAATAAATTAGTCGTAAATGGGTTAATGGGTCAATTAGGGTCGGATCATTCATGACCTGATCCACCCGTTTGACAGGTCTAACAAAAAAACTAATGCGAATTACAAAATGAAAACAAAAGGCAATTATGTGACAGCGTGATAATTATGTTAAACGAATTTTGGTCCGCATTAACAGGAGTCAAACGAGAAATAATGATCGCGGTCCATCAAATGGGTCACGATCTTTTCATCACGGTGATGAATTTGCGTCGAAATATCGCGCAGCCTCGAAATATATCTGTATGGTTAGATTACCACACGAGTCAATTGCCTCGATTTCGAGCCACAAACACGCCAAGTGCGCTTTCAAATCTGTCCTTGTCCTTTGCTTTCGTTCAAGGGATTGCTTCTTGCACCAAAAATAGCTGTTCGTGCCTTGCAAATTGAAGGTACCTTTGTTATTGGGTCCGGTAAAGGTTTGACAGAGACGACAAGATAGAACGGCAGGGGAATGTCGACAGAGGCAATCGTCAATGGGGATTTGATCTCATTAGGAGATTACCAAATTAGAACCGTGTCATCGCACACTTATAAGGGTGTGGCAAGCGATTTGCTTCTGTGGAGAACCCAGCTTTATGTCCTTCAAATGGATGTCCATGTGTACGCAACCATGGACGGGCGGGCGACTTTGGAATCAATTGTCAAAAGGAGTCGTTCGTTCGTTCGATCGGACGACCGCATTTACGTCTAGCCCGGCCGCGAACCCCGCTAGCGGTAGGACCGCGCGAGGGGCGGGGCTTGATTCGGAGCGCAAAAGTCAAACGTGGAATTCCACTCTGACCCCGGCCTAAGACTGGGAATTTGTATTGGGTTGGCTGAAGAAAATCTACGTTTGTGAATGAGATCTCCATTGGCATTGATGAATCTGTCGCGTAATCTGATCAAGATACACGCTCTCTCTCTCCTGTTGCGTCTCGGGCTGCGGTCCCCTTTTTTCATTACTCGACGGTCTTTAAGAGACGACCCTATTTTTACTCGCAAACCAACTTTTCGTCAGCTGAATAGTACGAGAATTCACGTCGGGTTTGGGTTGGCCGAAGGATTCTTCGTTTTGGGAATAAGATCTCTGTTTAGATTTCCGAATCTGCCCCATATTCTAATCAAGATACACATTCTCTTTTCCTTTGCGCGGTGTGATTCCCTTTCCTCGTGAGATATTATTCGGTGGTTATCGACTACAGTAGGATTTTCTTTTTCTTTTTTTCGCGGGCACTAGAAACGTGACATGTGTGCATAGTGCCAAATCACGATACAGCATCATCAGCCCACACGGAATAAAAATTTAAAGATCCCCCCCCCCCCCCCCCCCATTTCTTCTCTTCCTTCTCCACAGCCCAGTCGACGTTTGCGCCCTTGCCGTCAGCACCGTGTCCCGGTCACCACCTCCTCCATCGTCTTCGTGACCAACGACTACCGAGCTTTTCCCCGAGAAGGAGCGAAGGGCAAAGCACGAGCTTCTCTACCGGAGTTCCCCGTGGTTCCGAAAGAACTCACCACCCGCGGACGCGCGGGGCGCCGGCGGCTCCACCGGTGGCGACGGCGAGGGGGGTGAGACTCCCAGCGAAGCATAGAAACTTTTTGCGCAGCCGAGCTATGTTATTGTTTTTAATGGTTCCGAGTCAGCCGCTGATGTTGCAACGTGACGTGGCGCTGAGGACACGTGTCAAGTTCTGATCGGTCAGCTGATTCGACGGTCCCAACAAACCGCTTAAATACTTTCTCCTCCCGATCATAAACTGGCCGTCTAAATGAAAACCCTATTTTACTCCGACCAGCATCGCATCGGCCAACAGTATATGGAAAGGGGGTAGAAAAAACGAAAGAAGGGCGGGGGCGAATATGGGAATAGGACGCGAGATCGGGTACAGAATCGTAAATTCAACCCCGGTCCGTACGACCCTTTCCTGAGCTCTCGGGCAATCCCTTTGTATAAATCTGCTCCTGGCAATGGCCATGGCAATCATATTTGCAGACGCAGGACGTCCTCTTCGACAGAGCGGAGGAGAAGAAGAAGACGAGAAGAAGAAGGCGTTGTCCTCTCTCTCTCTCTCTCTCTCTCTCTAACTCTCTCTCTGTGTGTGGGGGCGTGTTTGGAGTTGGGAGGGGAGGGGATGGGGGCGAGGAGGTTCGCGGTGCTGCTGTGCGCGGAGGACTCGGAGTACATGAGGAGGCAGTACGGGGGGTACCACGGCGTCTTCAGGGGAATGCTGGCCGAGGATGGCGAGGCCTGGGACGTGTACCGCGCCGCCGCCGGGGACCTCCCGGGCGACGGCGAGATCGGGCTCTACGACGGCTTCGTCATCACCGGCAGCTGCAGCGACGCCCACGGCGACGACGCCTGGATCTGCCGCCTGATCGGCCTGCTGAGGAAGCTCGACTCCATGAAGAAGAGGGTCCTCGGCATTTGCTTCGGGCACCAGGTAATCATTGCAATTTTACCAGAAAAATCGTTCCTTGCTTTCTTTTTTCATTTTTTTTTTTTTTGGCCACATCGTATGGTCATCGCGGGTCCATCCTCGTACGCTGTCCTCCTCTCTTTATAGTTTCCTCCGGTTGTTTCTGCGTGAAAAAAGGGCCGATCGGAGTTCGATATAGAATCTTTGATTCGAATAGGAAATCGGGTCGACGAGAGGCTTTGAAAACCATCTGAAGATCTTTGAACCGGTTCAAAGTCCAAATGGGTACTTTCATTCTGCATCAGTACATGAAAGTTTGACGTGAAAAATCGTCTCTTGAAAGTGGTTCTGGTTTTTTCGACTGCTGATTGTCAATTTTTGTTTTGCATTTTTGTGGCGGAATCAACTTTTTTTCCTTCTTCTTTTGACGGTGTTTATGAGGGGGACGAAATTGCGAGGCGTTGAACTGGACAGCGGCGAAACGCCAGTAAATACGAGATGGCGACAACCGTAAGGGGGACGCGACTGTGACTGTCACGAGCCGGTTTCCGGGGCTGGGAGTGGCCCCGGCACCCCATCGCACGTTTGATGAATTGGTGGTCCATGAAATCGAACTTTAGTTCCTAAAAAAATCGAACTTTTAAGTTTGGTTGGCGGGTAGGTCGATGCGATTACACCGACCCGGACCAGCCGGGTCGACCTCGTGTCTCCTTTTTACTGGTTACTGAGTGAATCCTTGGACTAAGGGGTCTGGTTCCGGCAACAAGTTCTGCTTCAAGTCCCCATTTTTCCATGTTTTTCCCACAAGATGGCCGGACATTTTCCGAGTCAAACATGATGTGTTATTGTGAGATTCAGGGATTGAATATTCATAATCCTGGCAAGCGATATCTTGCAACTCGTGGGACCCGAGATTGGTACACGTCTGTATAGAATCAAGCAGGGTGGCCCAAGTTCAGCTTTTTCAACTGCTCCCACTTTGATTCACAGCACACGTGAATATGGCTCGTATTCGCACGTGCTAGTGATGCCAAATTCGGGTAACATATGGCTCGAAACGAGTCTTTCGCATGAGCTGTCCCAAGTATCACCCTCGCCAAATCAGTGATTCACTGTTTGGCAATCAAATCCACAATTGAAAAATGCTCCTGAAAAGGGCAAGTCCGATACAGCCCAGAAATGGAAAATGTGAGTAAACTATGTTTGTTTGTCATTCTTTGGGCCTTTACTATGGTAGGCGATGATGTGGGTTATGGTGTTTCTCTTTGACCTGAAGGGTGATGTGGGCTATCTTTAGCTGCACGCGACATTAATCCCGAAAACGGTCAGTGGAGAGATTGCCAAAGGAGTTCATTATAAAAATGGTGCTGAGCTGCCATTGGGTATTCTCAGCCTCTAATGTCTTGTCACTTTGCTTTCTTTATGGACAGATCGCTTTGATCTTGAATTTGGGTGGTGTTGTTTGTTTTTCAAGTTGGTCTTTTCTGCGAACTACGTTAATTAATTGCAGTTGCAGCGGCAACATGTATTTGCGGTTAGTGATGTGTTTCATTTGCAGAAAAATCCTTGCCATCAGTTACGAAACCAACATCAAACTGCAAAAAACAGAGACATAAAACGTGAAGTCGCTCGTGTTATGTGAGTCGGACATGGACTGTCGGTGGTTCAGTAGTTGTCCATTTCATCTGAATTTGATGCTGAGCTGCTCTCTGTTTCGTTTTTCTTAGCGCTGCCCTATTTCGTTTTTCGCCTTCATCTTTACGCACATCAGTCATATGCTTAAAAACCCAATTTAGCAACTCGCGAAATTTGTCGAATTGAAGTCGTGGGGTTGCATTGTCAGTGAAAAGATCCTAGTGTAGGGCACTCCTTAAATGCTGGATTATCTGGTTCGACACGTCCTTGTGACCCTCGTTTTTGTCTGCCATTATGTCAATTCGACAACACTGTGTACCTGCTTTGCTGGAAGGAATCTTATCTTTCCTTAGGTCACTTGTCGTTGTTCTCGTGACAGGACAAACCGATTTGCTCGTCTTAGATTTTTTTCTTCTTCGCCTCTCTCTCTCTCTTTCTCTTCGATTTGTGGTCATCTAGTTTAAGTTCGGCGCCTTTCTTGATCATCTTCTTGTCTTTGGTTGTACAGATATTGGGGCGTGCACTGGGAGGCAGAGTTGAACGTGCCAAATCATGGGACATAGGACTGAGAACCATACAACTGTCTCCATCCTCCAAGCGCTTCTCATCACTCGAACTTCCTGCGCAACTCTCTGTGATCGAATGCCACCAGGATGAGGTACAACACCTTACAACCTAAGAAAAGAGGAGAGAAAAATTAAATCGATGGCACAACGTTTTTTTTTTCTTTTTTTTTTTGGATTAAAGAAATATGAGGGTAGACTTTGAATTTGGGAAATTTAAATAGCTGAAGGAACTGCCGGCAAAAGCAGAGGTGATAGCGTGGTCGGACAAAACGGGGATCGAGATGTTTAGCTATGGGGATCATATGATGGGCATCCAAGGCCACCCGGAGTACACCCGCGACATTCTTGTTCACCTCATCGACCGTCTCTTCCTCCGCGGCCTCATCACCGTAGGTTTCCATCCAATTTCGTCTTCGCCTTTTTTGTACCGAAAAGATCAAGTTTAGGAGCTGGCGGTTTTCTCATTCATATTCCTTTGTAGGGGTCGTATGCTGATGAACTGAAGGCCAGCATGGGGGCGTGTGAGCCGGACCGGGAGGCATGGAAGAGGCTCTGCATCAGCTTCCTCAAGGGTGGTTTCTCGTAATGATTTCTTTGATTGTCAAAAATAAAGCGCAGCAAAAAAAAAACAATAATAAAAAAAAGTAGAAGAGGAGGAAAAGAGAAGGAGGGTATTAGTTGTCTATACCTTGGGATATTCTACGTTGCTTCCAAAGCGGCAAATGAAAGCAGTGCAGAGAAGTTAATTAAGAGCAGGAAATGGGAGTTTAGCCACATTGATTGGCCCCCTAATTGAAGCATTACGTCTGATAATTATTGAGAGGAGAGACGAAGCAAAAGTGGGCGAAGTCAACGATCGAGAATTGCGTGCGTGGGGGTGTAGTGGAGGCTTAGAAATTTGGTTCGAGTTCGGCAAGCATGCGTTGCTTTTTCCAAGTAGTTGACTGAGACCACCATTTGTCAATTTGATGAGAAAACATTACCTGGTTGCTGTATTTCCCATCTGGCATCTTGAATCTGACCTTTCATCTGCCTTTGACATTCAAACGTTTACCAATTCAAACACACTTTGATTTGCTTCCGGCACGACTTTCCTTGGATCGGAAGATTCCTCGCGATTTGGCAGGTCAAATCTAATGGACTACTACATTTTCTCATGCAAAATGCTTCAGCAAGTCTGTGAGTTACTGTCACTAAATTCTTTAAGATGTAGGCATAAATTGATCAATTATAGGGATGAAGAAAAATTTTAAGGTTTTCGTTAATATTTCCACCGGCCCTATTTAAAGATGCCAAGGCGAAAAAAATAGCTATCATCTCATCATATTCAAATATGGCTATTTTTTGAGAAATGTCCAAAACGCTCGTTCTTCTTTTTTCCTTTTTCGCCATATGTCTCCGTGGCACTACTCAAGCTATAACTAAAGCTTGAAGTAGCCAATACACCCTTGCTAAAAGTTAAGAAAGCACGATTTTGAATAAGGATGCCTCCGAAACCAAACGCTTTGCCTAATTATGTTTAGCAAAAGTGTCCCATAAGTGCTCTTTCTAACCCACGCTCTTTGCTTAAAGGAATTTGCAGGTCGCCTCTGATGAGACTTAACAACTCCCCCACCTATCTAAGTCGGAAATCGTCTGAGGACATGTAGTGGATACGACTATTCCTGATAAAGTGCTATCAATAGTGATTAGTGACGGCAAGATAATTTCAGATACAACTTCATGCTTCTAACCAGTTACAGTGTACGATACACGAAAGATATCAGTGCCATCGCATCTAAAACAAGGTGTCTCCGGAGCAGGCGGACCCTCTCCGTGCAAAAGACACGTGTCTCCGGAGCAGTATTTTCTCACAGTAACTTGCACCTCAACCTGCTTAACAGTATAGATATGTTCATAAAGACATGAACTAATAATCATGCCTCGGCATTCCACTTCCCACCACAAAAAATTATGCAATAGAAGGTCATCAGATTGTAAATTCTTCCACAGCAAAAGCATCCCAAGACATTACTATCCCAATCATAAGCCGTTCCAATGACGGTTTGACAAGGCTATGATACTTTAAAAAGTTCCGACCTCGATAGGTTTGACTCGGGATTATTCAATGTAAACGATAACCAAAGACAGAATACTGCTTCCCCATCACCAGTTCAATCTCAGACTCAGTGACAACATAGAAATATTCAAACGAATTTTTCCTAATCATGGTAATGGATGACAGAGACGATGATATGAGTTAGGCTCCCAGCATAGAACCGTTGTTCTTCCTGCACTCTGCCAACATATCCATGTAGAACTGGCACTTGCTGATGTCACTCCCAAAGTTGTTAACGCACTGCCAAATACAAAGGAAATACGGATATATAACTGTCAAAAGTTGAAAATATGTTCGCACCGAAATATGACAATATAAACCATACAGAAAGACATTGACATCATCACATCAGATCCTAACAAGATTTCATTTTTGGGGGGAAGGGGATGAAATCAAATTATGTTCTAAATTCATCAGTTATAACTTCTAAACTATCCACAACCTCAAATCAACCAAGACCGAAACCTGGAATGCACACTATAGGTCTCGGATCCCGAAAGAAAAAAAAAAACGGAAATTGAACCAATTTATATGTGCACCGGCCTGGCTGGATCCCAATTGTACTTGGGCACCTGGTTTATTTTGTATGAATCAACTAATTGATATTACATACTCTTAGTGTAGCCTATGACAAAATGAAGTCTTGTTAGTCAAGGTGGTCCTATAGCCTACTTCAAGTTGGAGGTCTCAAATTCATTCTTCCCAATTGCATCTCACTATTTTATTTTTCTAAATAAGGTTATGCAAGACTCTTTCTATATTGGTTCTAATCTGGAACCGACCTCATTGCTCTTGGGTCAAACCAGTGGCTCTGACATAAGAATTGGGAACCGGACCAATTAAAAGCCGGTTGCAAGGTTTTGGAACCGAGAACCAAACTGATGCTTCCCAGAAACAACCTGAAACAAGTTGGGTAAGGCCGATTCGGTCCGGTTCCCAATTTTTTGCTCACCCCTAGGACTGAAAACCTAACGCCAGTGCAGCTATTCATCAAATCATCCATACTTTCTCTTCTCCACTATGCTATGATAATCCTCCAAATACTAGAAACTGTTTTCTTCACCCAATAAGTTCAAGTCCTATGACTGTTAATGAGGCATTTCAAAGGAAGAGAAACCCATACATCTTGGAAGGCCTTGGAGTGGATGCTGCATGCATCAGCACCACCAATGCTGTTTGTAGTGGCTTCAGGGGCAGCAGCTGCCACTGTCTCGTGCTGAATAGTGCGCGGACCAAGCACAGCATCTACAGCCCTGTGAGCCACCGCACTTCCAGTACCAAAAGCCATACCTATTGTACAATCAGAGCAATAAGATCTTAGAGTCTCAAAGCAGAAGATCATTGAAAGGACGTATCTAATATGAACATTTAGGAACAAATGTATCGTCGACTCATACCTTGAGCTATGGTCGAACCAATGCCACCTAGCATAGAACCGCCGCCACCTTGAGCAGGGGCTGGAGGAGGAGCATGGTTAACTGTTTCGAGATATAAGCAGATCATTCACATTAGCGGCATGCAGGCTAACTTTCTTTGGATAGTTACATCATAGAACTTGTGTTCCCATGCCAACAGGTCCACCTTCAAAAGAATGTCACATGCACAAAAAGAATACCTGGTGCAGGAGGAGGACTGCGCGCAGGTGCAGGACGAGGGGCGGCACGGGGAGCAGATCTTCCTGCAGAAAAAGAATTTTGAGACAACAGCAGCACGGAATCAGCATATTACATAAAAGGCGGTCACTTATGTGTTAACAGAAGTCAGTTTGATAACTGTAAAATGCAAAAGGGCAACGAAGCTCTTAGGACGGCTCAGCAGGACAAGATAAAGGGGATAACATAGCTCAAGATCAATTCTTTTAGAACTAATAGCAGTGTGCTCTATCCTATCTTTACTTCATCATTGTTTAGAGCTCGTAAAGCCACATATGAGAGCTGCGACATACAACAATGCTTCAAACACCATCGACCTCATGCACTCATCCTCCAATTCCCCAATCATACGATAAAGAAACACAATCAGGAGGAGAGAACAGCCAAGGTAAATGAAGTAGCCAAAAACATGCCATAACTGCTTGTCCCAGGCTCCATTCACCGAGACAGCAAATATTAAGGGCAGTCTCACCGTGAGATGCATGCCCAAGTTGCATAGCTAAATTTCTCAGCAAGTGAGACGGAAAAGCACAAACTTTGAGGCGAAATGGACCAACATCCACGGCAGTTCGCATCAGAATCCAACCAAAACATGACAGCGGACCTAGCTACTTGTCCCCAAGCCAAATTAGCGAAGACAACAACAACTAACAGAAGAAAGCCCAAACCAAACCAAAGATTCGACAGACCACTCCCATTTTCCGGGAGACACGAAACCAGTAAACTCAAAGCATCTATACACACACACACACAACATCAAAAGTTCCAAACTTTCATCCGTCTCCTCATATCTTCTCAACAACCAAACCTACACAAGTACCGTCAAAGCTCAGAACCCTAGCTACCCGCGGACACCGAGACGAGAAATCGCGCGTACGAGAACGGCCGATAGCGGAAGGGGAGCAGGCGTTAGATCTAACAAGAGACAGCGCAAAACCCAGAGGAGAAGGAAGAGGAGGAAGGGATCACCTCCGGAGCGGCGAGGCATGGCGGCGGTCGGTGTTGCGGCGGCGGACGGCGGAGAGGGAGAGAAGGAGGGTTTTTCCTCGTTTGACCGATAAAAAGAGTGCAAATGCGTAGACGCGACTGCATGTGATCTTCGCATCCGCCTTTTATAGAAAGGGAAAGAATATCGGCATAAACGTAAAAAATTGATGCTTTTGGGGCCTCCGTTTCGTCCCATGGATCCACCATCCAGAAAGATCTCGACTCGTTTGGGCCCCACCGAGTTTTGACTCATTCAAAGCCTTCTTCTTTCTCTTGCCCAAATCCCTTCTTCCATCCAAGAAGCATCATCTTGATTTTGACACCCAAAATTACACGAAGTATTATAGTTCGGAGAAGGCACACGGTGCGTTGTCGACAAATCGACTGAATTATTGATCCACGATGAAGGCAGGGCGACTACTGTCGATAAGAATCGGTAACGATTGAGAATCGATAAAGCTGGCCGGTTGTAAACCCGATGAGAAAGTTGGAGTAGAGACAACCGGGCGAGAACCGTCAATGTGTAAGCTTGTTCGACCATCAGCAAATGGAGTCAAGGCCTAGAATCTCGATAGAATTGAAATTTGAACTATAACCGCTTTTGACGCTTACGTTATGTGTGAGCCTAGACAAGGCTAGGGGAAAGAAATGTAAAAGAGGATCCGTAATTGATAACCCTTATCAATTTTACTTGCAATTTACCAATTCTCTATTTGCATTCTTTACTCGTTACCGTTTAGCTAGCAGAATTAGGCACGTATCGATTGTTTTCTATCCGAATCGCCACAAAACCCGATTCATATAAAAAAAAAAGAAGCCGAAGATCCAACGTTCGGTAAAAGATATTTCGTCGAGAACTAGCGAAACAAAAACGAGAAGCTAATCCATCGAAGAGGAAGACAGTGATCTCTGGCAATTCATCTCCAATGTTTGTTCCTTATCGTTCCAACATACAAACGACCACATCGTCTATATACTCCTCGATAAGAATCGCCGTTCGTATTTGCTTGGCAGCAACAGGCGCACATTTTCTTTTTTCCCTTGTCAGCAAAATGGCCGATAATTAGAAGACGGGCAGGTAATTATAAAAAAGAGCCTTTCGAGTCGAATCATCGAAATTTACGAATCAATCCTCCATTTTTCGACAAAAAAAAAAATCCTCCATTTTTTCTCGAAAAGCCTTGGCTTGGGAAACAAGTACCAAAAATCGTGGTAACTCCGAAACGAAAACCACCTTACGAAAATTCCTGCGAAACCCAAAAGGGCCAGGCCATCGACGAGTCCCAAGAGGGGCAAAAAAAAAACGTAGGATCTTTCATTTCGATTCTTCCCAAAAATCTCCCGAGCAACCCAACTCGGCCTCAACTCAACCCAACTCGGCCTCGACTCAACCCCGACTCAACTCGGCCACCGAGTCACAAAGTCCCGCGCCGCGTAGGCCATGCCCTAACTCTCCCCCAATCGCAAATTCTAACCTCTTTCAAATCACAACCAGTACTCTCTCTCTCTCCTTCTCTCTAGAAGTGCGCATACTCTTCTCGCACCGGCACTGTGCCCCGAAACCCTCGGGCTCGGGCTTCCCCCTCCCCCGTCGCCGATCTGCCCCCTCGCCGCGCCTCCCCCCCCATGGCGGAAGAACCGGCAGCCCCTTCGCCGGCGGCGGCGGCGGCGGCGACGGCGGCGCCGCTCGGCCACTCCGTGATCCCCATAGTCAACAAGCTCCAGGACATCTTCGCCCAGCTGGGGAGCCAGTCCACCATCGAGCTCCCCCAGGTCGCCGTCGTCGGCAGCCAGAGCAGCGGCAAGTCCAGCGTCCTCGAGTCCCTCGTCGGCCGCGACTTCCTGCCCCGCGGCAACGACATCTGCACCCGCCGCCCCCTCGTCCTCCAGCTCCTCCAGACCAAGCGGAAGCCCGACGGGTCCGAGGAGGAGTACGGCGAGTTCCTGCACTTGCCTGGGAAGCGGTTCCACGACTTCTCCGAGATTCGGAGAGAGATTCAGGTGATTCCCCCACCCCGCCGCGGTTTTGATCTCTTCTCTTTTAGATTCCTGAGTTCGGGTAGAGGTCGAGGAAAATAATGAATATTGGGATTTGTTCCGGTAGGATTTTGAGATGGTAGCATTACAGCGAGGTTTGGATGTTTTGCTGGCTACTTGTGCTCGAACATATGATTTGCCGCATCTTACGTTGTGCTCGCTTCAAGTTTCATGTTGTTTTCCGATGTTTGTCCAAGTCTTGACTGGGCATCAGTCTTATCTAGTCTTTTGACGATCTCCCCTTGGTCACAGGCCGAGACAGAGAGGGAAGCGGGTGGGAATAAGGGTGTCACGGACAAGCAGATTCGTCTTAAGATTTTCTCTCCTAATGTTCTAGACATCACGCTGGTCGATTTGCCTGGGTTGACCAAAGTTCCGGTGGGTGATCAGCCCACTGATATAGAGGCACGCATTAGGACGATGATAATGTCTTACATCAAAGTTCCGAGCTGTTTGATACTGGCAGTCACGCCAGCAAACTCGGATTTAGCAAATTCTGATGCTCTGCAGATGGCTGGAATGGCTGATCCTGATGGTACATTTTATTATAGCAGATCATCGAATGCAATTCCCTTTTTTTGGGGGCTCAGTCTAACCTAGAATCCTTACTTGCCCAGGGCATCGGACAATTGGTGTCATCACTAAGGTGTGGCGTTTGATCGATCAGTGAAAGATCTGTGAATCATTTAAAATTCTCTCTGTTATTTGCTTTTATATGTTTTTTTCTGTCTTTTTTCTTCTGTGGCTTCAGTTAGACATTATGGACAGAGGTACAGACGCACGGAATCTGTTGCTTGGAAAAGTGATCCCCCTGCGACTAGGTTATGTGGGTGTTGTGAATCGCAGCCAAGAGGTATTGGATAGCATGAAAGACATGATAAAGTCCATTTTTTATGACCTTGAACAATAATTTTGAAGCTAAGGGGAGCATTGAACTTTTCTAAATTATTTACTTTTCTGAGCTTTTCAATGATATCACTTTGAGCGCACAGGATTTGATTTTCATTAATAGAAATTTGCTGTCAGCTCTATGATGGCATCATGAGTGTATTTTTGTGTCAATATTCTGTGGCTTATAATTTGTGTGTCTGCCTAATTTGGCTGTTGAACATTGACATTTGACAGGACATCTTGCTTAATCGGAGTATCAAGGATGCACGAGTGGCAGAAGAAAAATTCTTCCGTAGTCGTCCTGTATGAATATATGAACTCTTGCCTATCAGGGTTTATGTATCTGATGGAGATTTTGAGCGTTTGTTTTAATCCTTTTCTTGGTATCGTATGCAGGTATACAACGGCCTTGCTGATCGCTGTGGTGTTCCTCAGTTGGCAAAGAAGTTGAATCAGGTAAGGGAAATTTCAGTCAAGTAGGGAAAATTTAATATCGAATACTGTTTTTAATCAATATCTTTAATTCCGTGCTCCTTTGTGCATCGAAGTCGTGTTACATGTTATAACTTAAAATACGTTGCATATCATGTAATATATGTTTACTTTCGCTCGACAAGTCATGGCTAAGAATAAATTTTAGAACTTCTTATGAATCACTTGAGGGGGAAAGGATAGCAATATCAAGGTAATGTGTTTTATGCAGTTGACACTCCTCACTTAGTACTAGTTCTCTTTAGTTTTTGCTTGTCTTTCTTTTTGTCTCTATTCTTTATATGTTGCTATTGTACTAGAACATTTACTCTTTTAATAATTACATCTATTACTTATAGAAGAATATAATTCGTCGGACGGAGTTGTTGATATGTAACCTAAATATTCTGTTTGCATAACCTAATATAAGTTTCAGATTCTAAGATAAATTTGGATACCAAAGAAGATTCAGATTCAAAGATAAATTCGGATAGCTGAAGAATGATGCTAAGAGGCTCTTACTGTCATATGAAAAGGCTTCTTCTGAAAGATAAGGCTTTAGTCATGGTCCCCTTTGGGCTCTGGGTTCCTGTGTAACAGAATGCAAAGGAAGAAATGGAGTTGACTAGAGCTATAGAGTTGAGGTGTGTTCAGGATGCCTTTGTATTGATAACAGATCTGATGTGCTGTCACAACTTATTTGCAGATACTAGTACAACATATCAAGGCAGTGCTTCCAGGGCTAAAGTCTCGCATCAGCTCTGCGCTGGTTTCTGTTGCAAAGGAGCATGCTAGCTATGGAGAACTAACTGAATCAAAGGTGTGGTTTTCCCATTTCTATTTTGAGTGATGACTGGTCGTTAGTTTTCCCTGAGACACAAGTTACTTTGTAGGCTGAGCAATTGATTTGTGTGTGCTATGCTTTCCCCTATTGTAGTCTTGGAATTTTTGAGTTTCGGATTAATTTTCACCATTGTCACTTTTTCCCCTTTCTTTTCTGCTGAATAGGCTGGTCAGGGAGCCTTGCTACTGAACATTCTGTCCAAATACTCTGATGGTAACGTTTACTTGTTTTTTTGGTTTCACTATATTTTCGTTTTAATTTGCTGGATTGGCTTCTTAGCTCACTGATAATTCGCAAACTATTGTTTAAAACAGCATTTTCTTCAATGGTCGAGGGAAAGAATGAAGAAATGTCTACATCTGAGCTGTCCGGTGGAGCACGCATACATTACATTTTTCAATCAATTTTTGTCAAAAGTTTAGAGGTGTGTATACTGGCTTAAATTTTTGGAGATATACTTGCAATTTATGTAGCATTTGGACTGCTTCCTTGGCTCATGACTGGTTAAGTTTAATGCCTGAGTTTGAGTGTGGCTTTGTTTGCTTGTTATCTCTTTTGCCATTGACATCTCTTCGTGCCATATTTGTGCCTGTCTTTATTTTGTTTTATTTGATCTTTTCCTTGTAATATGTTATTTGTCACCGAGTCCTGGAGGCAAGCAGTTGATTAGCATGACGACAATCTAACTTGGCGGTTGTGGAATAATGACACTTTATCCTCTCATTTGGTTCTTGGCTTTTTTGCCTTGTGACCCAGTAGCTATGAGACATTGTCAACTTTTAATGTGAGTTTGAGATGTCTTTTTCATATGCAATGCTGCAACGGAGCAGATCTTGTTACTATCTGTCGCGACCTCCACTATCTAATTCAATAGACACTTTAGAGGGTTATTGATCTGTTTGATAGCGAAAGCATTCAATTTCTGTCTTTTAGGAAGTGATAAATTACAAATTGTTTACTCGTTTCGTTAAAATTACATTCAGTGCTTTCATGGGCTTGATTTTCATCTAGCGGCGTAGACGATTGGCTGAGTTTCTGCCTGATATTGATTTGTTCAATATTTTTTGTTAATATGTTTTACAGGAAGTGGATCCATGTGAGGACTTGACTGATGACGATATTCGGACTGCAATTCAGAATGCAACGGGTCCTAAATCTGCATTATTTGTGCCAGAAGTAGGTGTATGCATCTTCTTTTCCTTCTGAATGTTTTTTTGTCAAATATGCGATAATCATGTGGTACTTCCCATGTGATAAAATGTGCTGTGGTTAATTTGATTAGTTTCTTGTAGGTACCTTTTGAAGTTCTCATTCGAAGGCAAATAGCTCGATTGTTAGATCCGAGTATTCAATGTGCCAGGTTCATATATGATGAGTTAATCAAGGTTGTGTATATGAGATCGCCATATTGTATCCTAGGAATTATTTTGTTCAGTCCTTTAATTTTCAAGTCCTTTCTTCAGATTAGCCATCGTTGTCTTGTGAATGAATTGCAACGCTTTCCGGTTTTGCGAAAGCGTATGGATGAAGTAATAGGGAACTTTTTGCGGGAAGGTCTCGAGCCATCCGAGACTATGATAGGTCACATTATTGAGATGGAGGTATGGCGATCTCTTCATTCTTAGGTTTTAATTGTCTGGTATTAGAAGGAAAGTAGTTTTATCGTGTAATCTTTCATTATCTATGACATGTCTTGGAGGACGGCAGATACAGTTTCAGATGCAAGTGTGGCATACCGAGAGAGAGAGAGATCTTTCTCTGGCATATATTGGTAGCATTGATAAGATGCGCTTTGTTCTCCTCAATTAGAAGTCACGACTCTTTGGGTCACTTGATGATATATATGCTTGTCACTGGACATAGTCGGGTGATCAGGATACAACTATGTCCAAAAGTGGGAATAGTTTCCCAATGAGTAGAGGGAGGATTATTAATATGCTGTCATTTTTATTTTATGTTTCCAGGAAAATTATTTTAGTGCTGTACCAGCAGTATTATTCCAAAATTATGATTCTTTTGGTCTTCCTATACTGTTCTTCTTTGATGGCCTTCCTATGATCATTGGTCAGGATTATTGTTTTTCTACACTTTAGTTTATTTCTTTCGTTTTAATATTGACATAAGCTAATCCAACTTAACAGATGGACTACATAAATACTTCACACCCAAATTTTGTTGGTGGGAGCAAAGCTGTGGAGATAGCAATGCAGCAGATCAAATCCTCCAGGGTTTCTTTACCTCTTTCCCGGCAGAAGGTAGTTCATTGACACTGTTCTGTATTTTTGCAATGGTTTAACATCCATGTTTCGGAACATCCTTACCATTTTCTTCGTTGATTAGGATGGTATAGAAACTGATAAGGCACCGACATCTGAGAGGAGTGTGAAATCTAGAGCTATTCTTGCCAGACAAGTCAATGGAATTGTACCTGATCAGGTGTGTAACATTGGGTTTTTCCTGCTTGCATTTGTTTTTCTTAGTTAAACTAGGAGACAAGGAAACATCATCTCCTTTTTGTGGTTGTTATGGATGTACTGGTGAAGGATTTATATCTTACTTTTTTTTTTATGAAATATCACTTTTCATTTTGTTTAATTGAGGTACTTTCTATTTGTCTGAATGAGTAAATAGGGTGGCCGGCCTGTTGCGGATGCTGAGAAAGTGGCTCCTTCTGGTAAGTCACCCTTGAAGCTATGACGGATTTAAATGAGAAATAGTATGTTGAATATCTAAAGCAATTGTGCTAGTTATGTTGTATCTTGGACCTTTTACGTGTATATTCTTTTGTGGCTTTACTTTTTGCTCTTGCTTTGCTGAGGTGGAAGAGGGCTGAGCTAGTCCTTTGGAGTGCTTATAGAGATGCTAAATTATGTTATCTTATAATGTTTGTATTTGTAAAATTTATTTATAATTATGGTTGTTAGGAAACACAGGTGGTTCAAGTTGGGGTATTTCGTCAATATTTGGTGGCAGCGATAGCCGTACATCTGCTAAAGAGAGTTCAACAAGCAAGGCACATAACGAGCCTGCACACAACATGGAGCTGGCCATGTCTATGATTCATTTGAGAGAGGTATGCGCTTCACGTTGTGGTCCATGTGCATCATCCACATCCTTCTGGTAGCATTCAATTGCTTAATACAGTGGCAAGATTCTTGGCTAGAGGCATTTAATGCCTGCTTGTTTGATTCAGCCCCCAACTGTTTTGAGGCCGTCTGAAAGCCATTCAGAGCAGGAGGCTATTGAAATTGCAGTAACGAAACTGCTGCTTAGATCATACTATGACATTGTGAGGAAGAATATTGAGGATTCTATTCCGAAAGCAATTATGCATTTCCTGGTGAGTATTTGAGATATTCATGTTTTTTCCGCCTTTCCATGTCCTTCTCGTACCTAAGAGAACTTTACTAGTTGCTCTGAAGGTTTTTACAATTGGGTTTTGAATGACATGAGAAATTTTGTGTGAGTGCTTGGACATTTTAAATAATAGGTGTAAACTTTGTGCGATGTCCCTTGATTAAACACAATTTGCTTATTCTCTCATAAAATATGGAGAGTTCCAGTATTTGAAAATGCTTTCCTCTTTGGCCACGTGTCTGTTCAGTTGGAAGCTTGAACTGGATGATTAAGTGAAAGTCAGTTTGCCCAATTGAGTATTTGGACTGGAATTAATTAAAATGCTTAGCTTTGTTGTGAGCGTGAACCACTTTTCTGAGAAGCACTTTTCTGTGAGTCTGTGACTCTTGTATGCTGCTATTGTGCTTCTTCATAGGTCAAGGCAATCATGTTAGACGTCATCTGTTATGCTACATTGCCTTGTCATTATTAGGGTTACTGATGACCAGTTTTAGCTCTTTATTTACCTTTAATGTTGTCTCTGAACTGATACTATCCAACACTGATTGTAATTCAAGACTATGAAAAACGAGCTGATATGGAACTTAATGTTTATGTACTCTCTCTAAACAGGTGAATCATACAAAACGAGAGCTGCACAATGTTTTCATCAAAAAGCTTTACAGGTAGGTCAATATTCACTCTCATTGTCAAAATTTTTAAGTTCAGTTTCCACTGTTGCTAATTTTTCTTGTTAGTCAGTTAGTTTGCCTGTCTTTTGAGTACTAATTCTGCAAGTATTGGCTGTGAACAGAGAAAACCTGTTTGAAGAGATGTTACAAGAACCTGATGAAATAGCAATGAAGAGGAAGCGCACTCGAGAAACCCTCCGAGTTCTTCAGCAAGCTTTCCGGGTGAGTTTTTCCGAACTTCTTGTCACTGAAGGCATAGAAAGAGAAGAAAGAAAATAATAGAAGTCGAGATTCTCGTTTAGAGATCCATAATATCGTGCATGCTCAGTGGGAGAGAAAAAGGCTATCTTGCACGACATATCTAAAATTTTAGCTCGGTGACTAATTTTTTTGTATCTTCTGCGGTAGACATTGGATGAATTGCCATTGGAAGCAGAAACGGTCGAAAAAGGTTACAGTTTGGGTGCTGATCGAACTGGGTTACCGAAGATTCATGGGTTACCAACTTCATCGATGTACACAACGAGCGGCAGTTCTGGTGATTCTTTCGGGGCTTCCCCGAACAATCCAAAAAGTCGAAAGTCATCCCACTCTGGAGAGCTGCAGTCGTCACCCTTTTATGCTAATGCTGATTCTAATGGGAGTGGACGCCCTAACATGCCCAGTCTTTATCCAACGCTTGATCTGTGAAACATAGGGTTACTTCATCACGTCCAAGGCTGCATGGTTTTGCTTACTATGTCATTGTGACATTGTCGCACAAGAGCTTTTCAACCGTGGGGCTGGCTCGAAATGGTGACTCGTATATCCTCAGTGCACAGGCACGAGTCATGACTGGTGGCGCATATCTTCTATTGATCTACAAAGTAGCATTATAGTTGCATTTTTTTTGGAAGCTCCTAAAATTAGTAACAGGGAGCTGATGATTCTTTTCTTGTTTCATTTTCTGGAAAGCAGCTTCTTTTGATGTGTAATTTTGGTGGAGAAAATCTCATTCTGAGATTAATGGAGGAATCCTTATGAGATGCCCTTTGATAGTTGGCAGGCAATGGAACCAGAAAACCACCAGCACTGTCTCATAATCGTTGAGAGATTCTCACGAGTTTATGTTATGTCCCTTTATACCTAGCTGAGAAACCGATTTGATCTATTAGGAATGGCATCTGTGCGTTTTTTCATAGATTTGTTTGAAATTTTGGGGTTTGCTTATGCACAACTGTGATCTGGGTTGTGCAAGAATTCAATGTGTACTGAATGAATAAGATGCTAAATGCCGATGTACAGCTCATTTGATGCTTGAAAGTCTTGTGATTGGAAAAATATTAGTGTAGATTCAATTTTTCACTGCAGTTGATTACGGCGTGCCCTCTGATGGGAGATGCTTTCGAGATATTCTTCTCTTTGACATGGCGGATCACTTGAGATTTTTGAGAAATCATGGCGTGTGGAGTTTTAAGGATCTCTTTGTTGTTCACTCTTAGCTAAATAGACCATATTATAAGGACTATTATACGGGCATATGACCAACTTCTTTACAGCTTACAAAGACCTGATAATTTCATTCCTGCGTGGGTGACATTTTGTCTTTCATCATTTCATGTCGAGGGCTTGATCTATGACGGTTCATTCGCGAGGCAAAGATGCTAAGATGATATTCGTGTTAGAATAAGATCTAATGATCATGTAACCAAGGTTTTTGGATCACTAAATATATAGTAAGGTTAATCAAGAATAGCTAAATCACGATGAAAGAAGCCCCAGCCTCTACACTAGATTTAATGGTAATTTAAATTGAGCAAACTTCCGACCAAAAAAAGAAAAATGAGCAAACTAGTGTTAATCTCCCGCGGCACCATCAACGGTTGTCAATTGGTGGATGCACATCCTACGGTTGTTATCTTGTGCTTTTTCCACGTCATCAACAACAACCATAGCGAAACGAACTCAAGAATCAAAGGTTAGAAACCGAACTTAACCGACTCTCTTTGCAACTCTAACTGTCAAAACAGATTATACTCATCGCCCGCTCTTATATTTCAAGTTAAAACTCCACCAGCTCCGAATCATAACCCTCGCACACTTCCCGAGAAAAATAACGGCCGAGCTCGAAGTTGTGCATTGCACGGTACTTTCTTCGAGAGTGACGATGATGAGACCATCCGTGGTGGCACGGCCACGAATGAGGCTTCCTGCCGGCGGCTGCTTCTTCTGTTTCGTAGTGGTACTTGGACTCCTCGTTATGTACGAAAACTTCTGGTTCTTCTCCTCCACGCTCTCCTCATATCCTATGGATATGGTAGGCTTTCTCTCTCTCTCTTTCTCTCTGCGCGCGTGCATGTGTTCTCCTTGTTGTTGAATTCGGCATACTCCGATTAGGTGAAGGCCGATGCAGGAGGAAAACGCAATGTGGATCTGTCTTCTGGAGTTTACCACTCATGGAAGGTGTTCAAGACGGACTACGAAGAGATGGAGAGGAAGCTGAGGGTCTTTGTGTACCCGGGGGGACACCGCACTCCAAGAAGGCTCACCGGCAAGTACGCGAGCGAAGGGTTCTTCTTCAAGAACATTCGTGAAAGCCGGTTCGTCACACTCGATCCCAATGAGGCTCACCTCTTCTTTCTTCCCGTTTCTTGCCATAAGCTGCGAGGCCAGGTCTCCTTCCTTTCTGTTCTTTCTTTTTTTCTTGGGTTCTAAGCAAGCTGAATTTGCTCGCATCTCACTGAAAGCAAACTTCTCTCGCGGATTCTGATGTTCGGAGCAATTCTTTATGTGCAGGGAGTTTCCTGGGAAGACATAACCAATGGCATCGGAGATTATGTTCGGAATCTGATGCTCGAGTTCCCTTACTGGAACAGAACACTTGGCGCGGATCACTTCTTTGTGACTTGCCATGACATCGGCGTGAGAGCGACAGAAGGCGCTCCACTTCTTGTAAAGAATTCGATTCGTGTTGTGTGTTCTTCAAGTTATAACAACGGGTATATTCCACACAAAGATGTCGCCCTTCCTCAAGTGAGGCTGCCGTTTTCTTATCCTCCCGGAGGAAATGATGTGATCACCAGGCATGTATCGAATAGCTTAATTCATTTTATGTCCCTCCTGGAAGAAACTATATGATGAAAGAGATGGATGGATGGTAGAACAGAGGCCATTTATCTCACATGGCATAACTTTCTTGATTTAGTGTAAATAAACCAAAGGAAGTGTCATTTGCTGGTTTGGTTTGATGCGAATGTTATGTATTGAGTGCTACTGCTTTCTAAAATAAAATATATGAGGAGCTGTCACTCACTGCCGATTTCAAAACCTCACTCATGCTTGATCAAGCTTTTGAAGCTATGATCGTCTGAATTTCATAAGCTGCTTAAATGCTTAATCTACAGTATGGTATCCAGTCAGTTAATTCCCATTTGTTCTTTAGGGTAGGATCAAAACATCAGAAATGAGGAATACTCGAGTAATACTGAGGACTTGTGTTAGTGAGGATTATAGTCCTCAACTCACTTCTGTTAGAATTAACTTGCTTGGCTGCCAGGAAGATGCTTGGTTTCTGGGCTGGACGAACTGATTCCGACGTAAGATCTGCATTAACGACCGTATGGAATGGCGATGCTGAACTTGATATCCAAAACAGCCGAAAGAATGGAACTACAGGGAAGCATAACAAGTTTTATGAGGCTAAATTCTGCATATGCCCTGGAAAGTCGGAAGTCAACAGTCCATGGATAGCAGAGTCAATCCGTTATGGATGTGTACCAGGTATTATTACTCTCTGTTTACATTTTATGCTGTTGTGGCAAGGACGCTATTAGTTCATATCTCTATTCTTAAGCTGTTATATTGGCCCTTGACGATTAGGCTAGTTCTTCAAATGCATGAATGCCTGGAAGTGAAAAACACTGGTGCATAGTTCATAATGGTCTAAATAATACTTCACTTTCCATTTCTTTTGGTTTGAAGCTGTTATTGGAAAAAGAGAAAAACTCGGAGTTTCAATGTTGCTCGAAAGAAGTTTTGGATAAGCAACCCTTCTAGTTCTTACTCACTGTGCCTTTAAACCCTTGTGCATCATCCCTTTTGGATTTGAGCACAGAAAGTATAATAAACGTTGAACTCTCAGAAGTCTAGTATTTTCCATGTATTAAAAATCTGCAAGGATGACTATGGCCTTTTTGTCTTTTACCTTTTCTGAGCCTCCAATGCTTTTGCTCTCAGCTGGGCTGCCCCAACGTCTGCTTCTCTAATTGGTAAATTTCTATTGTTTGGCAGTGATTATGTCTGACTACTACGACTTGCCTTTCAATGATATCCTGGACTGGCGAAAATTCTCTGTCATACTTAAGGAGAGTGATGTCTATCAGCTGAAGCACATTCTTCAGAACATTTCAGATGCAGAATTCATGGCATTGCATCGGAATTTAGTTAAGGTAAAAGCAGTCCCTGTTATAATACTTTCTACAGTGCTATGCTTGTCCTGACTTTAGCTTTCAACAATACTGGTGGATCAGGTGGGGAAGCCAAATGTGGACTGTGGCTCTAGTTGATTAGCTGATGGCATTACTTTAGCAAAATAAAGAAAAAGAACAAGAAACTAGAGTCTAATCCTGGAAGAAAATTTTCCTTTTGTATGTTCTGTGCAATTTTCTCAGTAACTTCCTATTGCATGGGTTAGTTCTCTCATTCCATCTTTTATATCACGTGTTTGGTAAGCAGGTTCAGAGACACTTCACATGGAATACACCTCCGATGCGGTATGACGCATTTCATTTGGTCATGTATGAAGTATGGCTTCGCCATCACGCCATCAAGTATTGATTTGTCCTTGTCCATTCCAACCTTACCTCTGTACATGATGATATTCTTAAACCCGTCCTGTCTATGATCCTTTTGGCACATTTTTTGAACCAAAGCGCATGTATAGCATTGTAATTGATCTAATTGCTCATTTGAAGCTCCCACTTAGAATATTCTGGACAGATGGGGATTATGTACAGTTGGCAATGCCATGCTTTTGATAGCAGTTTACTCTCTTTTTGAGAGAAGCATCCTTGTACTCTTCTTCCACAGATGTTGTTCCTTTATTACATACAATCTCAGAGAACTCCCTGTTATTAATCCGTTCTTTGTTATGCATTCGTGAGCTCTTCCGTTCCATTTCCCAGATACGTTTTTGAGAGGGTAATGGCTTGTGAATTGTAAGTTTCTCGGATGGACAGATAGTACCTTCGTATTCCTTATACATATGGACATTTCGTGTGGACTTCTGGCTACCAACCAGATGTTACAAAACAACGGCATAAACAAACATATATAAACAGCTAAATTGCCAGTGGAGTGCGGGCACTCTCCTGCAATTTTTAAAATAATACGATGAGCAATGGACCAACTTCTATATATAGCCTTTCTTAGGGAATAGAGAAACAAGGCAAGAGTGCAAGCTCATATTTTCTTTTGCAAAAATTACTCCCATCCGGCTCTTGCTTCCCCTGCTCTTGGTAGTTGCTCTTGTACCAATTCGAGCAATCTGAGTTGCTCCTATTAGCCCAACTGCAAGAATCCAATAAGAATTAACCTTTGGCAACGTTTTTGATGCCGGTTATTCCAAGTTTGAGTTCTATATCGGCGATGGTTATGCCTTGCGTGTTCTTTCACTCGCCTCTGACTTCGTTTTGAAAACCTTCAATCAAAAAGTAGGTGAGGGAAAAGGTTACATGGAAGTGATACTGTCTTATGAAAGCTTTGCTGGTAAGGGAAATGGGAGCTATCCTCTTGCTGTTGCCAGCATGATAGGCAACAACATACGCTTGGACTCTGACTATATACTACGTTACAGTGGCAACGTCCGAGCAGAGTTAACAGGAATCCTCTATCATGAGAGCACGCATGTGTGGCAGTGGAATGGAAATGGTATGGCCCCGAGTGGCCTTGTTACCGGCATTGCCGATTACATGAGGCTGAAGGCTGGCTGGCCTAAGAGAGGATTAGGCCTGCGATGGGATGAAGGTTATGCAATCACCGTGTACTTTCTCGAGTATTGTGATGGCCTCAGAGATGGATTTGTTGCGGATCTGAATGCCATGATGAAGTATACATATAGCGACAGTTTCTTTGTACAGTTACTCGGGAAGATGTGTATGAACTGTGGAATGACTATAAGTCGGCATATGCGAGCTATGCACCGGCACCGGCACCCACTGTGGCACAGACACCGTCACCTGCTGCTGCGCCTCCATATACAACATACTAATGGATCCAGAATCTATTGCATTAGAGAAGTCCGTTTATAATTTGTTTTATGTGTGATCACAAATTACAGGTTCTGTCATGTCAGAGTACTTGGTTATGTACTTATGTATAAGTGTTAGTTGCATTTTTGAGAGAGGGAGAGATTTCCCCTTCCAGATCCAGAATTACTTGAACAAGCTGAAGTTGTGCTTCTTCTTTTTCTCCCTTTTAATTTGGCAATGCCACAAAACGTCTCTCTCAGAGTAAATCATGAAACAAAAAACTCCGTTTCAAATTTTCCTTGCAAAAAGTTTCAACCGAAAATACACATGTAAATCTTCAAACTTTATTGACGCTCATGGCCACTTGGATAGCATCCCATCTCGCTTACTTAAGAACAGTTGGCAAGACAACTTCTCAGACTACCTTAACCACACAAAACGAGAACTTTCCTGTTGTTTTTAGCTTCACAAACTAGACGGGTCGACTAATATGTGTAAAGCTACAGAATATGAGATCACTTTCTTTTTTCAAAACGATGAAATGTAATGCCATCGCAATAAAAAGAAAACAGTCCAAAATGAGACACTGATTTGAATTCAAAATTGAATTCCCAAAAACTTGGAATCTATCAAAAAAGATTTCTCGTCGTATCATTAAGGAGATAAGTCGTCCTCACTGATCATCTTACAGTCAACATTGATACTGCTTGAAGTTAATTTTTCTAGTGCAAGTGCAACCTTCACAAAATATTTTACAAAAGAAGCTCCATCTTTTCCAGTACCTACATTACTGAACAGATGCCTAAGTTAATCCATAGATTCGATATGAAGTTTAGCGTCAATCTGATTTCGATATGTTGCAAACAATCAGGAGATGACAAATTCGGAGCAAGTCTGAAGGTTGGATTGGATCTAACAAAACTAACTTTGGAAAGTTCGTCTTTTTCATGGCCTGCAACCTATTTCCTCTCCGTTTGTTCTGACATTGGAGCCTGAATTATTATATTGGTCGTATCATCTGAAACTAGAAGGAGGTACATCAGTTTCCAATTTTTTCTCTCAAAAATTTCTCTTCAGTTTTGGAGGATTCCTTTGAATATTCTTTAGTTCACCCGGTATGACGCATGTAGTTTTCTGCTGCTGCAGTCCACATGGTGATTTCTCGGTGCCTTGTTTGGCTAACAACGACAAGGTGATAGCGGACGTTATGTTCAAGAAATTGTTGCCAATACAATATCAAATAGTGTTTTTTTGGCTACATTTATATGTTTATATCAAACGCCATAATGAGATAAGAACAAGTATATGCTCCCTGAAAGTTATAGATAGAATAGATCTAAAAATAGACTGCTGATGATTGATTGGTTTCTCTTTGTTACTAAGGTTGCGGCCTCTAGCTACCAAACATGAAAAGGAAGACAACAATTTGTAAGACAATTTGGTTTGCCAAACTTTGCTGGCATCATTGAGTTTTTCGGCAAACCCAATGATCCGCATTTGCGAATTCTACAACCAAATTTTAGTGCAGGGTCATCTATATAAGTAACCATGCGGAAAGATGTGTGAGATCAAGCCATACAAAGCCACAATTTCAACTTTCTAGGCAAAAATGTCTTCGATACAACTCTTCCTCATCCTCCTCTTGGTGGTTTCTCTCGAACCAATACAATCAATCCTATACGAGCCCTTCAAAAATGGAGACACTATTCGCGCCAGTGAGACTGGAGTTGTGGACTCAATAAGTCCTGGAGCACCAATCCCAGTACAGGGGTTTGAAGTCACTGACGAAAGCCCTGGGAACAGCAGGTTCAAGATCGAAATCGGTTTGACTTATGCTCTCCAAAGGCTCGAGCTTGCCTCCAACTTCGTATTGAAAATTTTTGACCAAAAACCAGCTGAGGGAAGGGGCTACATGGGAGTAAGCTTGGTTGTAGAGAGCTTTGCAGCATATGGCATTGGGAGCTATCCTGATGCAGTAGCCAGCACCACTGGGGACAACATTTACATAAACTCGGACTACATTCAGAGTTACGACGCTGCAGTACGTCCCGAATTTACTGGGATCCTCTACCACGAGAGCACACACGTGTGGCAATGGAATGGAAATGGCATGGCTCCAAGTAGCCTAATCGACGGAATCGCCGACTATGTGAGGCTGAAGGCCGGGTGGCCATCCAAGTACTGGCCGAAGAGAGGGTCCGGCACAAGATGGGATGACGGATTTGCGGTCACCGCATATTTTCTCGAGTATTGCGATAGCATCAGAGCAGGGTTTGTTGCTGATCTTAATGCTCTGATGAAAGATCACTATACTGATGCCTTCTTTGTGCAGTTGCTAGGCAAGACTGTTGATGAATTGTGGGATGATTACAAGTCATCATACCTGACCCTTGCCAAGACCGTTCAGTATGAGCTCATTGACAATTCAACTAGCCCTGGTAACACTAAGTTTGAGACCGACATCGGCGCGGGTTACGCCATCATGATCCTGCAGCTCGCCTCCGAGTATGTCATGAAAACCCTTAATCTAAGCATAGGCAAAGCGAAACCATACGAGAAAGTAACATTAATTGTCGAAAACTTTGTCAATATTGGGATTGGAAGTTATCCTTTTGCTGTGGCCAGCACTACGAACAGCAACATTCGCTTGAACTCCAACTACATCGAATACTACACTTGCGACGTGCGCGCCGAATACAACGGAATCTTGTACCACGAAAGCACGCGGGTTTGGCAATGGAATGGCAATGGTATGGCCCCAAGTGGACTCATCACTGGCATTGCAGATTACGTGAGGTTGAAGGCGGGGTGGCCGTCCCAAAGCTGGCCTGAAAGAGGTTCCGGTTCGGGTTCGAGGTGGGATGAAGGTTATGCGGTCACAGCCTACTTCCTAGAGTATTGCGACAACCTCAGAGAAGGATTCGTCACCGATCTCAATGCCATGATGAAGGATTACTACAGTAACGATTTCTTCGTGCAATTGCTCGGGAAAAATGTTTACGAACTGTGGTCCGAGTACAGGTCTGCCTACAAGAGCGATGCACCAGAACCAGGAACAACTGCATCACCACCTGCTCCATCGCTCTAGATAGATAATCATGTCCATACTAGTTGGACATTGTTGCTTTTGAGAATAAACACAGTTCGTTCTTTTACTCTCTGAATTAGTTGAACAATGATTAATGAACATTTTGACATTACATGCATTGAGCTATAGGGGTGACTACATGTCTACATCCTCCCGAAACTGTTCAGCCATGAATGCTTCTTCCATGGTTTAACCAAATCCACTTCATGGCTTGAGGGATACTGATGTACCTTCTTACAGAGTAACTAGATTGTTTTACTTACAGATCTAGAGAAGCATCCTGTGTAATGTAAGGTGTCTAAATAGCATGAAAAGGTAATCGAAAAACAAAACGGTTCGAGTTTGTGGGTTATTTAGATTTTGATTCGGATTTGCCTTAGTTGACCATAAAAAAGATTAAATGACTCGAGCAAATCTGATTAGTACTCCTCCCATGCTTATATGATTATTCTTTTTGGAATTATTTATTTCGTTCAACTCTTAAAGCAGAATAATTTAGTTACCGAAAATTTGACAACCAAAATCTTTCGTTTCAAGCAAATAAAATAGTAAGTCTTGGCGCCTGACATTTTCCTCCATTTACCCTTTGATAATCCAATTGGAGATTTTTTATGTGAAGGAAAACGTTGCTCAGAAAATATCTGCATAATGTGCATTCACGAAGTAATATCTATATATACAGTTTTCGAACAGGGGAAGACAACATCGGAAGGAAAAAAAGACGAGAAAAAGAAACCATGAACGTAGAAGAAGAGGTCGAGCGACTCAAAGAAGAAATCAAAAGATTGGGCAAGATCCAAGCTGATGGCTCTTACAAGGTGCACATTCTTTCCTTTGACCCTTTTTAACTCGATCTGTTTGCTCACCAACGTCAAATTCTCATTCTTTGCCACTGAAGCTGCCGACCCACCTCCTATTCTCGTTTCCATTTCAAGAATTTTAGATCTCCTGGAGCAATTTGATATGGGATCAGATTCAATTTTCCAATTATGCAAGTTAGGTGCGTGGCTGGACATCTGATCTGGAAAGAGAAATCAAGATGGATCATCTTTGATTCTTCGAGAATTCAAGCATATCATTTTAAGGGTGTGCCAAGATTCATCATGTACAGATGATATCTCGAAGATTCGTTTTTGGTGTTGCCATCGAAACTCTCGGGTGCCAAAACCAAATAGAAACATGCCCTTTTGTTCTTTTTGATTGAACTGATGGCATTTGAAGCTTGCGTAAATTTGGACTTAAAGCCACATTCCAAGTATTGCCTAGTATTGCTCAGCTTGCTTTTCTTGCTACATCAACATACCGGCTTTTTATGCGTTTTTCTATGGAAAAAAGTTTGGCTTTTATACCTAGATCTGCTGTAACTTGTTCCAATTGACTTGTACTCAGTAAGGATTCCAGCGACATATTCCAATTAAGTTAGGTCTATGATGGGCCGTTGGATGATTTGTTGAATGTTTCAGCACCTCGTTTGAACTTAGTTGCAGGTTGATTTTCTCTATCTAATTTGCAATTTGAGATAGAACACATCGGTGTCAGCCAATCTCACTTTCTGTAAATGTATTTTCATAACCATACGACTAGTAATCCTTAGAATGAAGCAAAGTAGGCTTTTAATTCATCCGGTTTCTTATCTTTTTTGTATCCTGTTGGCATCCATTTGTTACTATTCCCTCCTGTAGGAGCACAGGAAGTTCAAACAACAATCTGTGTCCTTAATAAGAAAATCGTGTCCATCTTGTATCCTTCGATTAGTAATTGAAACACACTTAAATTTGCCCACCTGGTGTTAGTTTCTTTACTACCCCTATCCAACTGAATCCAAAAAATTTAACTTCATTTTCTCTCTGGATAAACTTTCTATGGAGAACCTTTAACTAAGGAAAACTAGGAAATAGGCAGAGAAATGGAAATAGGTGTAATTGGGACGAGAGCTCAAGCTCATACCCAGATGCAGTATGTCCTCCACTTGAGGATGTGTAAATGTCATTCAGAAACTGAAAAGCCCTTGATTGATCCTTTTCTTCTTTTTGGTTAAGCAGTTTATACCTTGTTCACCCAACTTTAGCAGCAAAGTCCCAGACCTTTTCTTTTCAGCATTTTGTCATTGACATTGGAAATGGAAACCAAGCAGTTGTAAGAGATAGAAATGTTCTTAATGAGTTTAGGTAGTCCTGCTGGAATGAGCTACGGCTTGCACATGTACTGAAATATGCATATGAAGGTTGGTAAGAGACCTGATACGTGTCTTTGACCACTTTATTCTAGTGATGATGTGTGAAAGTTAGGCCTCATGAGATCTCAGTTGATATGTTAAGCTAAGAATTGCTGACTTTTGTCCTGCTGTTTTGCCATATCAAGACTGCTTTTACTTATGCAACTCTTCCGTACACCACCAACCTAGTATGAGATTCTAATGAAAAACAATCCAGTCGCCAAATTGACGTTGTTGCCTGTCTCAAGGTAACATTCGGCGTGCTATTCCATGATGACAAGTGTGCAAACATATTTGAAGCACTGGTTGGGACTCTAAGAGCAGCAAAGAAGCGCAAGTTTGTTACTTACGATGGAGAGCTCCTGCTACAAGGGGTCCATGACAACGTTGAAATCACTCTTAAACCCTCGCCACCAGCTGCGGCAGTGGCAACAAGCTGATGTTGATTGGTCCACCTGGCTCAGTCACGAAAATAATCACTACTGTGTTTTCTGTTATGTAATGGCTTGTATCTTATCTCGGATTGTATACATGTTCAGGAAAGTCAACATTGTGTTGGACAATTTCATCTGTCGTCGTTGCTCCTTGAACTCGATCTCAGTAAAACCAAATGCTATCTGAAGGGCATTTTGTCCTACTGTATAAGGGACCTATGTTGTGAAGAGTTTTATTTGTCGGTAAAGTAGCAGTGGTTTTTCTTGCTCGAGTGATTCTAAAATTGTTGCGTCTTCACTGAGAAGTACGGAATGGCTTTAGCCGGTGATTGGTTCCAACTTAAATATGAAATTTAACCTCCTATTTTAGGGGAAAATAAAATTATTCTTTCATGTCAGGATAACGCTTTAGATTCTCTGATCTTTTGTTCCCTGAGACAAAAAAAAAAAGAACAGAAATTCGTTTGGTAATGTCAGTCAATTTTGTTCTCTAGAACAAAAAAGTGATTAAGGAATAGATTTGGAACAGAATCAAGAAGTAAAAAAAAAAGTTGCTAAAAAAAAGTTGCTTTTTGATTCTAGGAACAAGAATAAGAAATACAAGAGATTTTTTTTTTCTTCTTTCCTGTTCTTCTTTCTTGGCCAGTGGCCGGCGAGGGCGTCGTGGCCCTCGCCGGCCACAGGAATGGGTCCCCCTAGCTGCTGAGGGTGAGGGCTAGAGTCGCCCAGGCCGCAAGGGTCCAGCCCTCGCCCTCTCCTATGGCCGGTCACCGGCCATGGCCGGCGACCCAGCCATGGCCAAAAAGGAGAAGAAGAAAAAAAAAAGAACAAAAAAAGAACAAAAAAATTAACATATTATTAATAAAAAGAAATTTGGTGCAGTTAACAAACGCATTTTTGTTCTTTTTCTATTCTAAGAATAAAAAGAAATTTTGGGCTGTTACCAAACGCTTTCAAATACTTAGAAATTGTTTCCGGGAACAGAATAAAAAAAAAATCATTTCTAAGGAGAAATTATTTCCGGGAATAAAATGGTTACCAAACATGCCCTAATACACCAAATGCCATCTTAGACTTTCTCAGTGATTATAAAAATGTTCATGAAGAAAACAGTAGGTGATTTATTCCAACTACTTGGGCAGGAACAAAATTACAGCTTTCATGTTATATTCGACAATTTGTGGTACAGGTTATAACTATCGAGCCAATTTGCAGTTTAAACGATTCATATGATACCTGACGTAGTTGCAAGATACTGATGGGAGGCATCCAACATTCCTCCCATCAGTAGCATAAAGGAGTTGAACCGAGCATAATCTGCAACTGGGAGGAACAAAGCATATATGCATAAGAGGAATGTTGAATAAGTGACAGGGCAAGATACTCTCCTTCAGATGATTTTCTAGAAGCACGAATCTCGTGCCAAGGATATGCCAAGAAAAGTAGTATTTAAACGATCAACACGAAACAAGTTTTCATGAAAAAGAGGATTAACAACGTCTTTGCATTTGCAGAGAAGATACAAATGGCTTCCAAACATTATGAAATCATGATGTTCCCATGGTTGGCATTTGGCCACATCCTTCCATATTTCGAATTGGCCAAAAGATTGGCTTCGAAGGGGATCAATATTTCCTTCATCTCTACTCCCAGAAATATACAGAGATTGCCTCCAATTCCTGATAACTTAATGGAAAACATACAGCTTGTCCAGCTTCCACTGACATCAGTCGATGGTCTGCCAGAGAATTCCGAGGCTACTATAGACTTGCAATTAGAGTGCACTGAGTATCTTAGGAAGGCCTGTGACAGGTTACGAGAGGCACTAGAGCAGCTCTTGTGCGAGATTTCACCCGACTTAATACTATTTGATTTTGTTCAATGCTGGATCCCACAAATAGCTGCCAAATTCCGTGTGCCTTCCGGATATTTTAGTGCATATGCTGCTTGTACACTTGCATTTTTAGGGCCGCCAGCAGAGCTCGAGTCATTTGGCCGGAGAAAGAAGCCAGAAGATTTTGCAGTAACTCCAGACTGGTTTCCTTTAACTTCACTGGTGTCTCAAGGTCGTCACCAGGCACAAAAGATGTTCAGGAATTTATATTTTCCTGATATATCCAGCTTATCAGGCAGCCAAAGGTGGGCAGCGACTCTACATGGTTGTGAATTTGTTGCTGTGAGAAGCTGCTCAGAGCTTGAAGGTGAATATCTAAACCTTCTTAGAGAACTCTACCAGAAACCTGTACTGTCAGTAGGTTTATTGCCACCAATGTCCAAGAACAAAGTATCTGATCAGGCAACTGGCTCAAATTGGTCACACATCTCCAAATGGTTGGACAAACAAGCTAGAAAGTCTGTAGTGTTTGTGGGATTTGGAACAGAATACAAAATGCCTCTGGAGGAAATCCACGAGTTGGCATATGGGCTCGAGCTCTCCAAGATGCCTTTCTTCTGGATCCTCAGGACGCCCGGTGGACTTGAGTTCGATATCTCTGAACTGCTTCCTGATGGGTTTCTGATGAGAACCTCAGAACGGAGTATGGTTTCAATAGGGTGGGCGCCGCAATTGGCAATCCTTGGTCATCCTGCTATCGGAGGGTGCCTATACCATTCTGGGTGGAGTTCTATCATTGAGTCACTTGGATTTGGTCATCCACAGATTCTGATGCCCATGGTAGATGACCAGGGCCTTAACGCGAAGCTGTTAGTGGAAAAAGGGGTCGGGTTTGAGGTGCCCAGAAATGAAGATGGATCATTTCACAGAGATGCAGTCGCCAAGTCCATCAGACTTGTGATGCTGGAAGATCAAGGAGAAGGATTGAGGGTGAAGGCAGCTCATATACAGAAAATTTTCGCTGACCAGGATCTTCACGACAGTTACATCAACAGTTTTGTAGAGTTCCTGTACAGCCGCAGAAAAGGATCATCACAGACCCGTGATAGCTAAAAAGACGTCATATCTTGGGAGAGAGGCATTAATGTCTGCATTATCGTTGAGGAATGGAGAGTTGTAGACTTCTAGTCCACGTAATTAGCAGTATGCCATTATAATGTATTAGGTATATGTTGTATTCTTGTTCTAGTTACAGAAGAGAGGGATCTATATATTGTGAATGAGGCACTGATAGTTGTTATCACACTTCAGTGACTTAGACAAAGCAAAATGCCAATCCTCAATCACGTATCATCTGATAAAGCTCAAGAGAAAATCGATTTAATTGCCCTATCGTTTAACATTGCACAAAAAGTTGGTCCTAATTTGGCATGCATTATACAGGAATTGCTGATTTATATTTAGTATAGTACATATTGAGTTTCAACCAAAAAAAAAAATACATATTGAGTGACTCGATCCCAAAACTGTAACAGGTAGAGTACCATAATCAGGAAACCCATCAGGTCAACACAACTGGGTTACCTAAACTTCATATCCAGGATTTACTTTTTGCTGAACATCTTCGTAGCTCTCCAATTCTTCAATGTCCTCCGGACTGCCCAAAAACAGTGGCAACCTTTGATGCAGCTTCACAGGTTGAATAGAAAGAATCCTACTTTTGCCGTCGGAGCCCTTGCCACCCGCCTGCTCTACAAGAAAACTTAAAGGATTTGCCTCATACACCAAACGGAGGTGGTCTCTAGGATTCATTGCCACGCCACCATACAGCAGAGTGCGATGAAAATCAGCCACCAGAGAGCATATATAACGTGCTGAATATTTCTTGGGGTATCTTCCTTTCCCTTGCCTAACAGTGTCGATATACCGCCTTAAACCATCCGGCCAATCAAAATATCTTGCATCATTTACAGAATAAATTTGCCCTGACACCAGAAGGGAAAATTTTTTTAGAAAAGCTTCCATTTTGGCTCCATAAAATTTCCTATTTAAGAATGTCTCAATCATCAATGCTGCATATTACTGGAAAATTCAGAGACAATAGTTGGAAAGAGGATCAAGTTCAGTCAGCATATATCACCCTTACCTGAAAAATGCAAAATCGTATAGAAATTTCCTTGGAACCATACATTTGGACTGCTGCTAATATGAATTTTTCAACATTATTAACTTCAGCTCTACTAGACTGATCATAAGATAGAATTACCTCTAGGAGGAATTTTAATATTTGGATGAGTTAGAATGAAGTCTCCTGTAGACTGATCCAGAGTAAAAGCATGTGTTCCGGAACCAAAGGTAGCACAGAGAATCGTGGCTGAAGAATAGAGAACATAAGCAGAAGCTACAAGCCTGGTTCCACTCTGCAGTGAGTTCAGCTGAGCCTTCTCATCTATAGGTAAATGATCAAGTTCCACGAGCCGATTATATATGCCGAAAATTGATCCTGTGGGAATGGATGCGTCAATGTTCCTAGAACCATCTAAGGGATCCGTTACCACAACAAATGGGCCATCATCAGCTATCCAAACTGGAGTATCATCTTCTTCTGAAGCCATGACAGCAACTTTTCCAGAATTCTTTAGAGACGACAAGATAATTTCATTCTGCGCAATGAAGACACAGCCATCAGACATGTTTTGTCTCTCTTATTAGTAACTATATAGTCTTGAAATAACTGATGTTACGGTTAACAATACGACTGCACTCAAACATCATCATCATGAAGATCAGCAATCTAGACCAGCTTCTTACAGTTGCAAGCAGTAGGAGCTAGAAGGCTAGAGTCAGATCGCTTCTCAACCAGTGGAATCAAACATCTGTTCCATCCCAAGTTTAAGCAGACTCTTTCGGAATATACAAGGGCTACCTCTTAACGCCATGTCAATATGGGGTAGTTACCAAGCTAGCCAGCCCCCAACCACTAAATTATGGCAACTTTATTGTCCCCAAAACATTGGCAATCAGTTCAGAACTTATTTTCTAGCTGTCAATCACAATGAAATTTGATCACGCCGCACGTAGCAAATTTTTTTTTACAGAGTGCCCATTTGCCAAAGCAACCAAAAACCAATGGTGGAATTTGCCCCTGCTACAATATAATCGGTTCAGTTACGAGCCAAATTCTGTAGCTTGAGTTCAACTTTGCCTTGCCGAAAGTTGATGTAACTTCAAACTTTGACAAAGAAAAGTATGGCGCTTTCATCTCACACAAAAGTCCAGAAGATATGCTTCATAAATTTTTCAAGCTGACTTCTACAACATAAATTTTCAAGCTTTTGATTGACATGTTTAAGCGATGTGACAAAGTCCTATTCATAAGCACCATCACATAGAAACCTCCTGAAATCTGCAAATTGAGTACTTGACTCCAACAAGTGACATCGACAGGTATCATGATCGCACACATAAGCTGCACCCAACGAAAAAAAAACACAGATTGAGCTGGACAACTTCACTCACAGAGACGATGTCCAGAGGCTTTGGGGCATCTCTGCCTGATTCACCCCCCACCCCACCAACAAGACTTGCTTGCTTTCCCAAGCTGGAATTGAAAGGAGAAGCCACAAGAGAAGCAACCCTCTTGCAAGCATACTGTATGTGATCAAACAGCAGCACCACATCATCTCCCACACCAATCCCCGCCTTACCCAAGAACTCTACCAATGTGCGGTATTCATTACGGCTCTCCGTTGCACCTCCGGCCACGCGGCACCTCACTGACAACCCAGGAAAAGAAGCCATTTTCGGGGCGCAAAGCCCGTTTCTTGGAGGAAAGTTTGGCAGTGTACGAAAATTCTGGGTCTTGGGAATGAAAAGGAGGGACTTTGGAGAGGTCGATGGAAATGGGTATTCGAGGGTCGAGGATAATCGCATAGTAATAGTCTCGAGGACTGAGAATAAATGAAGGGTCAAATCAAGATCCTCGATGTGGTGGCTACATGGGAAGTACAAGAACACTCTTTCTTTCGGAGTTTCGATAGACGAAGGAGAAGATTGTACTTGGTTTAAAGTTGAGATGGAGATGATTCTATTCGCAAAATGGATAAATGGAGAGTTTCTGGTGGTGGTGGCGGCAGACTGTCGGTGGCCCAGGCGACGGTCAGCAGCAGCAGCAAGCAAGCAAGTGCTGCAGATTATCTTGGCAGCAATTGGTAGCAGAAGACCAAGGTGGTTCCAAAATTTTTTTCTTTTATCTTTTTCTCGTTAACTTTTTTCATCTCTGTCTTTTAATTTTTATTAACAGAAAATTGGCAATAAAAATATTATTAATCAATAATTTTTTTTAATGAGAAGTATATAAATTATCTAATTTCGATTAACACATGTGTCTATTAGAAAAGCCTTATCAAAAAAGGATATTTTTTTATTTAGATTAACACCGAATTTCTATTAATACTGGTGTCTATTCGAGAATTTAGAAACGAGGCAGAGGATGATCGAATGCATGATCTCACGGATTGGAGCAATGCACTAAAACATGTGTGTCGGCCTCTTCTTCCTACTTCTTCCTACATAATGGTCTTCGTTAAATAATCATTTATTCCAATTACAAAAATAGTCATTCATGATCACAACTTTGAATTAATTATTTCAATCAAATAAGAGACATTTTCTTTTGTTGTACAAATTTCTTATGCCGCTAGAAAGGTGAGACCAACTTTAGAATAGTGTATTGGATCTTTTCCTAAAATGGGAAAACTTTAGAACATTGATTCACATCTCTGTATTAATGTGGATTTTTTTTTCTGTAAAAAAGATAATGAAGAGGCTCCTTTTATGATAACATTAAGAAATATGGTAATACAAATGTGAGGGAAAAAATTGAAAATTGGGTGAGGCAACAACAGTATCCTTCCAACTTGATCAAACAGCCCTACTGCCCATTTTATTTCATATTTCATCTCAGGATTCAAATAAAAAAATAAGATAATGACACGAACAATCCTTGAACTTTAATTCAATGTATAATTTAGCCATTGAACTTTTAATTTGTTCAATGTAGTGCCTGAACTTTAACCTAATGTTCAATTTGATCGAGTTTAAGAACTAAATTAAACATGTACCAAAAATTCAAAAACGATATTGAATAAATTAAAAATTGAAGAACCACATTAAATATTAGAATAAAATTTAAGAATTATATTAAATAAATTAAAATTTTATGAATTAAATTATATATTGAGTCAATATTCAGAGATCGTTTGTGTCTTTTTCCCTAAAAAAAATCATGCTTTGCTTTAATCTAGAAGATCACAGCACGGACAAGGCGACAAGGTTAGGTTGGAGGGCCGCTCACGCTTGAATTTTTATCCTAGTTTATCTTGTCCTAACGTCAGCACATGAACACCCCTTTTTGGCTTTGCGAGAAAAAAGTTGGGAAGATTTTCTCTGTCTCTGCTTGATCTTCTGTGATTCATATGACCCTTCTCCGTGGCTCTTCCTATATTCCTCTCGGGTAAAAGAAGAGCAAGAAAAGGGAGAACCATGGTGTCTCCGACGGTTGATCTACTCAAGAGCGAGCTTCCACTCGAGCAAGAAAGCGCGGTCTTGGGTGAAGATGGAGAGACGGGGCTTGTTCTTGTGGACATCATCAATGGCTTTTGCACTGTTGGTGCTGGAAATCTTGTGAGTAAAGCTTAAGCAGTGTCTCTTGTTAGCTCATTTTTTTACGATATGACTATGCTTTTGGATGCAGCATATGAAGTTTGTGCCTAGATATCTATCATGAATCGATGATTGATGAACTAAGGGACGTTTGGCAAGTGTTGATCAATGAGTGAGCCTCATCAAGAACTGTCATTTGTTATATATTTATAATTGGTTTGCACACGTTTATATAATTAATGTGCCAAGGGACGCATGGCAAGTGTTTGTGTTGATGTCTATGTTATATATACTGGCTGGTTGCATACTTTTTCTTGGTTTATATGCTCATGGGTTTGGGTTTTCCATAAAAAAAACTAGTCGAAATCTGCCCAAAGTTTTGGTCTTCACTGTGGTATTTGAAGATCTTGAGAGCTGATCATTATGTGTTTGGTATTTGCTGTTCGTAATTTAGGCTCCCAGAGAGCACAACGAGCAGATCTCGAGCATGGTAGAAGAGTCTTCGAGGTTGGGCAGGTTGTTCTGCGACAAGAAATGGCCTGTTCTCGCATTTCTTGATTCTCACCAACCCGACAAGCCTGAGGACCCTTATCCTCCTCACTGCATCACTGGCACTGATGAATCGAATCTGGTCCCTGGTAAGCTCTCCAGCATCTTATGGAATAACCTGGAGTTAGCTAGTTTGATCTATGCGCATGTTCATTCGGTAGAAATGAACACATTGATCGTGTGGTGGTATCATCTAGTTCAGTGATCCTTGTTCTGAGAATGAATGAGATAGTGGCAGTAATTACTAATCTCTCCCACGCCCGCATGCATGCAAGCACATATTGATCGGTTTTGTCAAATTGCAGCTCTGAGATGGATAGAGAAAGAACCAAACGTGACGATCAGGCGCAAAGATTGCTATGATGGGTATTTAGGCTCATTTGAGAGCGACGGCTCCAACGTGTTTGTGGATTGGGTAAAGAAGAATCAGATCAAAACCGTGAGTACTCCGTGATCTATTTTTCCCTTTTCCCATTACATCCAGCAGAATTGGCCTCCCTAACTGAAGGAGGAGTTCACCATACCATAGCTTTGACTCTAAAGTAACCATTTTTGTGGTGTGTGAAGATGCTGGTGGTTGGGATATGCACGGACATATGCGTGCTGGACTTTGTTTGCTCGACCTTATCAGCTAGAAACCTCGGCTTCCTCAAACCGCTGAAGGACGTAGTAGTGTACTCGCGGGGTTGTGCCACCTTCGACGTCCCTCTCCATGTTGCCCGAAACACGAAAGGAGCCATGGCTCATCCGCAGGTACCATCTCGCGCTATGCCCCTACATGCCATTCTGTAACTTGCGTGCATACTTTCGACACGCTTTCGAAACAAAAGCATCGGCTAAAAGACATGCCTTATGCTCGATCAAATTGGTCTTTGGCAGGAACTGATGCATCATGTAGGCCTGTACATGGCTAAGGAAAGAGGAGCCAAGATAGTTGATCAACTGTGGCTGGATGGAAAGGAGGCGCCATAAGCCCATCACAGTTTGTGTAGAAATAAGAACATATCATCTGCCACACAATACTACATGGCCCCCGTGTGTAATGTTCCTGTTCATTCCATGTCGGATCGAGTTTCTTGGAGACATACGATAAAATAGGAACAACGGAGAGCAGTTTAGCGCAGACCCCACCCATTTCATGTCCGGTAGAAGCTTGGAGCAATAAGTGTATAAGTGGACACTCGATAGAACATGATGGAACGTGTTGTGCTTATGTTTTTAGTCTTAATTTGATCATGTGCCATACTTCTAGTTCTTATATGAGGCGCTTCCGGGTATCGTGTGGAAATTATGGCACTCCATCTCGTATGCAAAGTGGCTGGTTATTTCTGATTTACCGTTTATAGGCAATTTACGGACTTAAAAGGTAATTTACAAATCATAAGATAATTTTTGCATTTTCCAATATTTAGGAATCTATAGAAAACTTACGATGGTGAAAGTTATTTTACGAACACAAAATATAATTTACATACATCATTTTGCATTTATGATATAATAAGGTACGTTACGATGATTAGATTTTATTAGCAATTCACTAGCAATTTACTATAAATAAATATAATTACGATCGTCAACAATTAGCATTAACTCAATTTACTGATCACAAGAGGAATTACTACGTTTAAGATGAATTAAATCTTATAAGGTCAATTGAGTGAATGTTAATTGTTGATGATCGTAATTATAAGGTCAGCAACTGATGGTTCACAATGGTCAGTAACTTTCCATCATTAATAGTAAATATCTTTTATAATACTTAACAAGTCAATGCTATCACCCAGTAACTATCCAATAATATTGTAATTTTTCTCGGTAGGTCATAACTTACAACTCCTATTGTTAGTCATTATACCTCCATAACTGAAATTTGTTTGAAGTCCTATAGCTAGTACTTCCCCTTTTGGAGTAGTAACTTAGCTATAGAGTTCGTAAAATAAAAATGCTATCATTTGGTAATTAACCAATACCATAGTAACTAACCACGAATTATCGTAAGCCATAGAACCTATAATCAATAATCGTAAATCACCTATCAGTTCATGTAAATTACACTTAGTAATCTACCTTTACGAAAGTATAAAAATCTAATTTCTGGTCAAAGAACCCATTATGGCAAGAGATTTCAAGTCAAGTCACTCGGCTAGATTGAACATTATTAAGATTAGCTATGAGAGATAAAATAATATACAAACAATTTAATTAGTAGCTACTTTTATTAAATTAAAATTAATTCAAATAAAATTAAATTTATCGGTAATCTTCATTAAAAATAAACTATTACTGATAGATAAATAATTTTTTTGTTAAATTTTACGTAAATAATAACAAAATCTCTAACACGAGTTCAGATAATAATAACTAGAATTCTTGCACATGCAAGATTGTGCACATTTATAACTTAAATTATGGAACCTTCGAACGTTCTATTTGATTCCTAAATTTAAAATAGGCTTAGACCAAGTAAAATGAAATTTAAATATAGCGAGAAGAAACAAGAATGAGAAAATGAATGAGAGATGTAAGTAATATATTCGATGGTAGATATGCAGATCCATTGCATGAGAATGAGAATGAGAAAGTGGCAAAAGAGATTGAAGTAATAAAACCCAAGGATAGTTAACAATTTTGAAATTCACATTTTGGTCCACAAATAATACATATCTAAGTTAAGATATTAAAGAATATTCATGGGAAAATAAAGGGATTTGATTGTCTAAAATGAAGGATGGGAACCCTCTTCCAATAATTATAGATACTATACGTAGATTAGATAATTAGCTTTATGATAAATAAGGGTAAACAACATAAATGGTAATGTGGTCCCAAATTTTTAAATTTGTTTAATATGATCTTTGAACTTTAGACTAATGCACGATGTCGTTCCTGAGCTTTTAATTTGTTAAATATGATTTTTAGTACATGTTCAATTTAGTCACTGAATTGTATGAAAATGTTCACTGTTGTCCTTCTAATCATTCAAGTTCAGGGACAATATTAAATATTTTCATACAGCCTAAGGATTAAATTGAACATGTACTAAAAGTCCAGAGACCACATTAAATAAATTAAAAATTCGGGTACGACATTATACATTGGGCTAAAGTTCAAGAATCACATCAAACAGATTTAAAGTTGAGGGACCACAGTTCATATATCATTTGTGTCATCACCCCATAGATAATATACCTAGATTATGACATTGGTCATAATGTAAAAATTAGCCTAATTTTCAGTTCTTTTTATAATTTTCTTTTTTTTTTTCTCTATTTTTTGTTCGGTGTTCTTTTAGCCCGTTACGTGTCCCCTTCTAAGATGTAAGACCGCCTTAAAACCCTAGGCGGAGACCAATTTGCCTTCTTCTTCCTCCTCTTCCTTCTTCTTCTTCTTCTTCTTCAGCAATCCTCAAACCAAGCTCCACCGTCCTCTTGAGCATCGCGCCGTCAACTTCAAGAAAGGTCTGTTTTTTTCTGTTCTTCATCTTCTTGGGATGTGTCCTTACGTGTCTCTGTTCCTCGGTTCTTCATTTTTTGTCTCTTCCGAACGAAACCCGTGTCCCAATGCTTTGCTCTTGTTGGGTCAGTTGTTGTCGAATTCAACTTGTTCATGTGTTGTTGTCTTTCGCTGAGATAAGGAGCATCTATGAGGTTGTCGCCCATGTCCCCCGAATAGTTGAGGATTGTGGGATCATTGAAGCGGATTTTGTATTGTTCGTTGTGATTGGGAGTTTAGACTGATCGCTTGAATGAAAAAAAAGTTCTGAATTTTGGACTGCGGAGAACGGTTTTCAATCAACCCAGTTGAATTTTTACAAAGTTATGGCGATAATCAGTCCCGAAAATGAAAACTTGATTCAGTTTCAGAAATCCGTGCCCCACAGTCTTGTTCTCACGGGAACGAGCTAAAGCTTGACTTTTGTCAATTGTATGGAGCTGGAAGTTTGATGAGTATTTTTGTTTGCTTTTCTTCCGGCTTGCTGATATGCCTATGTGTTGTCTTGCTTTGATATCTTTTCTGGATTTTCTGGTGTTCTAATGTCTTTATCTGTGAATTTTCAGTGTATTGCAGATAGCAGCATGGCTGAAGAAGCAGGCATGTTTACGGTTCAGCAAACTGTGGGCAGCGTTTTGTGCTGCAAATGTGGTATTCCAATGGCGCCTAATGCTGCCAATATGTGCGTCAAATGTTTGCGGTCTGAGGTTGACATCACAGAAGGTCTACAGAAGAATGTTATAATTACTCATTGTCCTGAATGTGATACCTACTTGCAGCCTCCAAGAACATGGATTAAAGCGCAGTTAGAGTCGAAGGAGCTTTTGACTTTTTGTGTCAAGAGGCTGAAGAATATGAATAGAGTCAGGTTAGTGCATGCTGAATTTGTCTGGACTGAACCTCACTCCAAGAGGATTAAGGTGAGGCTAAGAGTTCAGAAGGAGGTTCTAAATGGTGCAATACTCGAGCAGGCCTATGTCGTTGAGTATGTTCAGCAAGAGCACATGTGTGAGTCCTGCTCCAGGGTTCAGGCTAACCCTGATCAGTGGGTTGCTGCTGTTCAGCTAAGGCAGCATGTTTCTCACAGAAGGACATTCTTTTACCTGGAGCAACTGATACTCAAGCACGACGCTGCAGCTCATGCCATAAAAATCAAGCAGATGGATCAAGGAATTGACTTTTTCTTTGCCAATCGCAGCCATGGTGTGAAGTTTGTTGAATTCATTAGTAAAGTTGCTCCGGTGAGGAGTCGCAGTGACAAGCAACTTGTGTCTCATGATACGAAGAGCAATAACTACAACTACAAGCACACTTTCTCGGTTGAGATAAGTCCGATCTGTCGTGAGGACCTTATCTGTCTGCCTCCTAAAGTTGCAGTGAGTTTGGGAAATTTTGGTCCTCTTGTTATATGTTCAAAGGTTACCAACAGCATTGCCTTACTCGATCCATTTACTCTGAGGCAATGTTTCTTAGATGCTGACCAATATTGGAGGACATCATTTAAGTCCCTGCTTACTAGTCGACGGCTTGTTGAGTACATTGTGTTAGACGTGGAGTTGGTCTCGTCTGAGGTTAATATTGGGGGCTCAAGGTATGCCTTAGCTGATGCGCAGGTGGCTCGTGTATCAGATTTCGGTAAGAATGACCTGATTTTCTCCATTAGGACACATCTTGGTCATCTTTTGAGCCCTGGTGACTACGCCCTCGGCTATGACCTTTATAGTGCAAATACAAATGACATGGAGCTGGAGAAACACAAAGGTCTCAGTCTCCCCGAGGCAATTCTGGTAAAGAAGAGCTATGAAGAGAAACGCCAGAGGAAACGCGGCAAGCCTCGTTCGTGGAAGCTTAAATCTCTCAATATGGAGGTTGACGAGACAAGAAACAGGGCTGATGAGGAGAAGGTGAACACCGAGTATGAAGAATTCTTGAGAGATCTCGAGGAAAACCCTGATATCAGGTTCAACATATCACTATACCGAAACAGAGATTACCAGCCATCTGAGGTGGCGTCTGTAACGGATGGAGATCTACCCTCTGTTCCCCTGGAAGAGTTGTTGGCAGATCTTGATTTGAGCGACGAAGAGATGGAGGACACCGCTTGAGAGAGAGCTTAAAATCTGTATTAAGAACTTATAGTCCCTCATTGCCTCTGTGTTATTTGGGGAAGATATGTTACTTTTTTTCCATAAAAAATTGTGTTTTGCCGAATCAAATATGAGAGCCGGCAGACATTTCTGCCATCATTTTTGCCCGATGAACTTTATGTTTGGGACTGTGAGGGTCCTGGAAGGGGGAAAATTTCAAATCAGTACCCAAAATAAGATCATTTTTTCAAAAAGGAGTCCAAAATAGACATAGTACAACTAAACTTTGTTATGACACATTTACCCGATATACATTGTCCATGGGCATTTTCGTCTTTTTAGCTTTTTCTTTTTCTTTTTACTTTTTTTTTTTCCGCCCTCCGGCTGGGGCCCCCTTCGCCGTGGCGTCAGCGAGGGCCCTCGCCGCGTCGAGGCGAGCCGCCCCGCCGCCGCCAAGGCTCGCCTGACGTCAGCTAAGGCCGAGTCGCCTCGCTCGCCCTCGCCTGAGCGAGGCGAGCGCGCCCGCGGCTCGCGCAGCCTGAAGAGTAATTTCGTCTTTTACTTTTTAAATATTTTTTTGTTTCCTTTTTTTTCCTTCTTCTTTTTTTTTTTCCTCTTTTCCCTTTGTCGGCCATAGCCAGTGCCGGCAGAGGTTGCCGGCGTTGGGCGAGGGCGACCCATGGTCGGGTGAGGGTCGAACTCGCCGGTGTTGGGCGAGGGCTACCCTTGCCCGGGGCCGGGCGAGGCGAGCGGGCGACCCCATGGTTGGGCGAGGGGCGAACTTGCCGGCGGGCGAGCGGCGAGGCTCGCCGCCCTTCGCTCGAGGCCAGGCGAGCCTCGGGTGACCCTCCCTTGCCTCGAAGCGAGGGGCTCGCCGAGCCGAGAGCAAGGGTTGTTGTCGCTCGACCGAGCCTCGTCGCCCGGGGCTCGCCTCGCCGAGGGCGAGCGGCGGCGAGGGCCGCCGCTCGGCCTCGCCCGACGCCGTGAGGGCCCTCACTGACGTGGGGCTGGGCAAAAAGAAAAAAAAAAACAAAGAAAAATCCCATGGCAACTATATCGGATCACGTCAAGGGCAACTACGCCGTCCTCAAATAAGTGCAGCGAGGGCAGCCCGATGCCCAATTAGTCCAAATAAGGGCTTGAGTTCGTTGGCAGGGCTGGCCCGAGCCGGAATAATTTACTTTAATTTTTTGTTTTTTTTTCCTCTCTTTTTTTCCTCTTTCCCTTTGTCGGCCATAGCCGGGCCGATCGAGGTTGCGGCGTTAGGCGAGGGCCACCTCCCTGGGGCCTGGCGATTATGTTGGGCGAGGAGGGAAAGAGGAAAAAAGAAGGAAGAAAAGGCAAAGAAAAACAAAAAAAAATTAAAAAGTAAAAGGGGCAAATTGACCCTTGCCGAATCCGGAGAGCAAGGGTTGTTGTCGCTCGACCTTGGGTCGCCCTCGCCGACGTCGGCATGCTTGTCGGCCGCGAGCATTTGACCGGCGAGCGAACTCGCCCTCCTAGCCTGGCGAGGGCGCCCCGAGCCCGACGCATTTGACGCCGAGCCCGATGCCGGCCCTCCGCCCGGCCTTATGGCCGGAGGGAAAAGAGGAAAAAAGAAGAAGAAAAGGCAAAGAAAAAAAAAAAAAATTAAAAAGTAAAAGACGAAATTACTCTTATTCAGTCGCCGAATACGTACGTGCTTTGCCGGGCGAGGCATTTGACCGGCCGAACTCGACTTACTTGAGATTAATTGAGAATTCCGGGCTCCTATTTGAGATTGATTGGGCATTTCAGGCCCTTATTTGGTACTATGTCCATTTTGGATCCCTTTTTTAGAAAATGACCTCACTTTGGGTATCAATTTGAAATTTTCTCCCAGAAGGTGCATTGCATTTGTACTTGCAGATAGCCAGTGGAAAGGTTGGTTTAGTTTTCAACCAAATCTGCGTTAATGAATTACTCATAACAAGAGTTGATTCTTTCACCCCTGCGTTTAAATATAGTCTTTATGAAGGCTTTGAATACCTGGCGCTGTATTCAACTTGGGGCTTTGGCAATGCGGATTAGTTTCTTCTCTTACACTGATTGACCCAGTTTTAGCACTACCGCACGACATTGCAACGAGACCTCGTAATTAAGTATAAAAACTTCATAGATAGTCTTAAAATCATTTTAAGACATCATGAGGTGTTGTCGTGCTTGGTGCACTAGTGCTGTAAGAATTAAGAAGGCTGTACTGTATCATTGTTGTGCCTTAGAAATGTCCCTCTTCCACGGTTGTGGATCCGAATCCATTAGAATAGAAGATGTTCTTTTCCAGATGAGTATAAAAGAGTAAAAAGCGCTTTCATTGTTGTGGAATAAGAAACCTTCGTGCCTTGATACATGTATTCAATTTTTCGGAGTTCACCCTGGAGCATCATGTTCTTGACCTGTCATCTTGAGTGAGCTTGTGCGAAGATGATTAAATCGACATTGGGATATAGCCATTCTCAAGTTTTATCTTTATACTTCTGAATCTTGACTATCAAATTGTTCCCTCTTTGCCTTTCTTTGGTTTTCTGAAATGTCTCTGCATATTCACCTTAGATATTGTGAGCACCCACGCCACACGAAATTTTGGAATAAGCACTAGCTGATTTAACCAAATGCACCTTCGTAAGATGTGTGCATTGGAAGGATCTCCACTGTTTTCTGTGCTTTTACTCGTGAACACAAGGGGCTGCTACTTTAGAATCAAAGTGTCGTATCTCAGCTAATGATGTTCCTCTTTCTGAGTGGTTGTGTAGAAACATTGTAGTGAAATAACAATCTGAGATAAATGTGCTTCTGAATATCAAATTTTACTGAATTATAAGATGAACGGATTAGAGGAACCAAAAATATTGCCATGTGCAGCAAAAGTTCAGGTCACCGTGCAGGGTAGCCATAGCAAAGGCAGCATTTCAAGAAACTCATTGCTCTGTGGCAGCACTTGCAGCATTCAGGTCAACGGAAAGATTGAGAACCTGCAATGTTGAAGCACCAGCGTTATCGAAGTATAAGATGATTAATCCTCTCTTGACAGCATTTTTTGTCATTACTAACTTGTTAATTACATACACTTGCTAGGATATGTATAATCACCATGGCTGTGCAATTTTGCACCATCTAGCTCTATATGCCAAAAAGAGAGAAACCTGTGCTGCTTTCAGATGCGTTTTTTTCTTCCCTTAATAGGGACAATGTTGTACTACTCTATATTATCCTCGTTCTTACAGTTTTTTACAAACAAGTGAGAAAAGTATAAAGTTGAGTTACCTTTCCAGTAATTCTACTGTACATCGCAAGCACATCTGTCACCGTGTTCTCAAAATGTGTAGATGCATCATAACTCTGCAAAATTTCTGCTGGTCAGTGAAAAATCTAACAACTGCATAACGCAAAGCCAAAGCAAGACATTCGAAGCCATCAATATCAGCAAAAACTGTCCTTCCAAGAGAGCTATTTACTTCATTGAATCGTTAGGTATGTGAAACATGCACCAAGTTTCAGTTCCAAGCTATTTTATACTCAGAAGATGTACCAATTCTGCAACTAAAGTGACCAGTTTGGGAAACAGTGTCCCTGGCGAAAGAAGGCAACTACTTGTTAGATCTATAGAAACTCAAAATACTATCCCAAGCTTAGAAATCTTGATTTCTAGACCTCCTTTTGATTAGAATAAATGAAGGACCTGGTATGGGTAGAGCTAAAATGTGTTTCGTTCTGAACTTAAGTTTGTGCTCTCTTATGAAATAACTTAATAAAATTTCACCCAAAGTAAAAATGCCTAGAGAAGGAGACAGGAAAATCCACTCACAGTTGATATAAAGCAGTTGTCAACTTCATGGTTGTTTGTGGGCACATATCGATCGTATATATCAAAGAATATTTCATCCATGGGACCAAGTAACTCGATACCGGGTTTTAGTTCTTGTTGAGGGTTATCGGTTTCTGCTTCAGCAGTCACAAAAGCTATGTATTTTCCTTTTGGAGCTACATTGTGAGCATAGGAGCAGCAGAACAGGTACCTGAAAGAAAGTTGCAAGTTGAAACACACATCATAAACTTCTATCTATCTATTTGGAAATCGATTCTCATGTAATGAATATTTGATCGAATTAAACCTAGGAGGACACAAACAGGGCACTGGTTCTATATGCCAAGCTTTTCCTGCCAAAAGTTTTACGGCCTCCACATGATAAAGGATGCCATTATTGTGGAGGCCATCTCAAACCAATCCAGTTATATCTTCAGATGGTGTAGGCATTTCATATTCCTATCATAATTCTGGTCAGACATGTATATTATGCTTTTGTCTAGGCTAGAATGTATCTGCTGTGAACCATGAGTCCGCCGACAAACATGCAAAGCAAGACAGAGAGGTCTTGTATAACTTAAAAGCAAGGTTAGGAGGTCTTCTATAACTTTAATCCATATCCCAAGGGATCCAGTGACAATTATTTTTTACAACATGCGAAGAAGACGTACATGTCTGATTTACGACCAAGTTGCTTCTGCGGCAAAATGACTTGAGCTGAGTGAGAATCATTGGTATCCGGGATTGGATGGCTCATTATGCAGATAGCACGAGCGACTTTTCCGACCTTCCTGACCTATGAAGTCAAGCCAAAGGCAAAAGGCACATAATCAATATGATCACAGAGCTGCAATAATGCCTTCTTACCAGGAGACCTATGCCAAAATTCTGCTTTTTCATTCTACTTGACTTAATGTGAGAGCTTACCTTGCCAGGCAAATACGATGGATCACAAACAACTTTCTTGCACTTAGCAGTTTCTCCTGCAGAACTGACACCGATGACTTTCCCACTCGCATCGAACTCTACCTGTCAATTCACATTGAACAAATTGGATCTTACCTTTACTCTGACAATTCACTTCACTCAGAAAAGTTTAAACTTTCTTCGTATAAACATATATCCACTTACTGACCTTACACTGTGGTTTGTTAAGCATGTAAGTTCCACCATAAACTGCACTAAGACGTGCGAATGCCTGGCAATGGAGCATGTATGTCACTGCAAAGCACATTATACTTTGTTTTGATGCATGAAAGAGCAATAAGGTTGAGGACAAACCTGAGGTAATTCTCCAAGTCCATACATAGGATAGATATAAGGAGAACCTCCTTGAAAACGTGCCAAAGACTCTGCATAGAGCTTTAGATGACAAGTAGCAAAGGGCGCTGATTACCATCATATGGCTATGGCCAAGAGTTTTTATTAATCAGCAGCATTTAAGAAGAGATAGCAAGAATATCTACAAATGGCAGAGAGCGCTAATTATTTTCTTTGAACAGATGAAGCTCTTATCTTCTGATGAAGTTTCCCGAAATCCTCGGCCATAATACAATGTTTGTTCAGTCCCCCAATCATCTGGTGTTTGTCCGCGTATTTTTAATTTTTCAATGCATCACTCTTTATGTCATCAGTCAAACTATTAGTCAATATACCAGATTTGGATCTATCGCCCTATCAATATCAACTGAAATGCCTAAGAGATACGCTTCATTTTGCAGAAGGCAGTCCCATTCGTACTACGAAGAGATAGCTGTAATATCTACAAGTGGCAGAGTGCACTAATTATTTTCTTTGTACAGATGAAGCTCTTATCTTCTGATGAAGTTTACCAAAATCCTCGACCATAATACAATGTTTGTTCAGTCCCCCATTCATTTGGTATTTGTCAGCTTATTTGGATAATTTCAACCCATCACTCTTCACGTCATCAGTCAAACTATATGGCAATATACCAGATTGTGTCTATCGCCTGATATTAACTGAAAATGCCTAAGAGATCTGCTTCATTTTGCAGATGGCAGTCCCATTTGTAACTCAATCAAGCATAGAAAAAATTAGAACAGTCTTTTATATAGGGAATCGCTAGGAAGATGGTGGAGGAAAAGTTGAACCTTCATTCTCTTCACAAAATCCATAGCAGGCTTATCCAAATAACTGTCATCAATATGAAGTGCCAAGGCATGACCGATAAAATCAATTGTGTCGTCTTCTAGCCCATACTTGCTGCCAAAAGAAAAGGAGGGAGAGAGAGAGAGAGAGAGAGAGAGATTATACAATTATACCTATGGATGCATGAAAATTTCAAATTCTCATGCAACAGAAAAGTGCGAGGAACATACGAGATAACTTCCCTTGCTGTAACTTTGTTGAGGTCCAAACCTTCATGAGATTTCGGATCATTTTCTTCATAGTCTTGGACATAAATGAAGAACTTTCGTGCTCGTCGCTTCTCGAAAAGCCCCATTAGAGGCGATTTCAGTGCTTCAACATCAGTGGCTGGAACTTTATAAATCTAGAGGCAAGATGGCCTTGTATTAATCTCACTTCAGACCATGAATAGTACGTCTTATGACTTCTCAAATTTTAAGAGATTCTTTACTAGAAAGAATGAAAATTGCAATATGAAGGCACATTTTTCGTACCTTTCCTTTGTTATACACAAAGCTACCATCCACAACCTTGAAGTTCAGGTACTTTGTGACATCCGTGTGAATGAGAACGCGCACCAGAGCACCATTAGCCATTGTGAACTGGAAAAAGCACGTAAGAAAAAAAAAATTATCATTGTAACAATGCAGTGCATTCAAAAAAACTTCAAACCGATGGATGAAATATATATTATAAAGATACAGAATAAGCTAAAAGGAGAGTGCTTTGATGATGCAATTCCAACGTTTCTAAGAAGGGACCACTGGCATTTGAGCAGAGATAAAAAAAAAAAAGCTTAACGAGATTGTATGTTGTCACTACCTTAGGAATCATATCAACATTGTATTCTTTGCTTGGTCCCAAACTTTCTGGAGGCTTGTCACTTCCCCTGAAACGTTTCCAGAGCTATTTGCAGTAGAAAAAGACTTATCATCAATTTATGAAATTGCCAAAGCAGTCTCAATTTTTGTTTCAATACAAGGCTAAAAGCTTCACCTGGTTAAGATTGAGCGAGGTTGATTCGCCTCCATAGTAGTCATTCTTGTCCATGTGTAGGACCTGTTTTGATCAACAAAACTCAGTGAACTACATATCAGATACCATAAGATCAATGCGAAACGTCCATAAAATATCTAAAAGCAAATCAAATTTATTCCAGAAAATTGTAAAAGTTGAACTTTTAATAACAGATTTTGCTTAGTTCAATTGATCAACTACCACAACAGATAAAGATCTCAACTTGACATTACATACCTTGAGACCATCAACAGAGAGGAGGCCACTGAGAATGCATTCCTTGAGACCCGTCCCGAGAACAATCACGTCATACTCCTCGTCCATGGTGGTCGGTCGCGGCTTCGAGGCGATGGAGCTTGCGAAATGGAAATAGGGAAGTGACTATTGTTGGCCTTGACAGGGGAGAGATTGGTGATGTGGGTGATGGTTAATATGTTTCTTGCGACATAAGGAGACCTGGTCTATAGCGGGAAAAGCTGCTATGTTTCCGCTTCATGAGGCAAGTGGAGAATTCCAAGACCGTTTGTGTGGTTTTTAATTTGACTCGGGGAATGAATCTGAGATGAATAAGAACAAGGGCAAATCATTTGTCTTAGAGAGGATATAACTTTACATAAACTAAAACTTTCGTTTTTTTTTTCTTTTTATAAATTGGATGACTTGATCAAATCCAATGACATGAATTGATTTTTCCAAGTCCATAAATTTAGATAGAGCACGAAAAAAAAACCGTTGTACAAGCCAGTCAATTCCATTGTAAAGTCACTAGAGAAATTCGTCTACTTATTGGTAGCTCCATTATTTAATTCAACAAGATTTGTGATAGTGTTCGGCGAAAGAGAGATGCTAAAAACAACTAGAGTATTTCACGGGACCTTTGATTAAAAAAGTGATTTGGCAATGTCATATGGTGTATTCAAATGAACCAATCACTTTGTTCATGGATTTCACTTGCCCAAACTTCTAATAATAAGATCTAGCAAAATCCCTTAGTAAACAAATTTTAGTGAAAATCATACTATTTCTGGCATTATTTGGTGCATGGACTCATCCCATATGTGATGAGATGAGCCAATAGCTCAGTAGTACCATATTTCAAAACTTTCTGTCCCTTTACTTCTTGATAAGCGATTGTCATATCAATCGGCAAGAAATTGTTGGTTAATGCAAGTAACTTGAGCATACCCTTCGCATGTTTCTGCCTGCTGGTACATATTAGCTTTGCTATCGCAATGCCCAAAAAGAATAGCATGGTCACTTTTGCACAGTGCCTCCGAAATTGTGAAAATCGCAACAAATTACACATGCAGCTACCGAATTAAGAGAATCAAACCACGCAAGCCCCGCAAAACCAAGAAAAGAAGCATTGTTTGCCCTCCACTCAATAAAATTGAAATACATCGAAGAATTTTGACGATGTCGCATACATGGGATGGTATAAATACACAACTCCCAGAGTCCCAATCACCATACAAATCCTCAGAGAAATTAAAGGGGAAAAATGGAGCGAATAATTAGAAAAAGCTCCAGATTTATATAAAACACAAAGATTAAATGACCAACCCATGGACAAAAAAGGTCTAACTCTTTCTGACGAGCGTTGTCTCAAAGCCTGATGATACGAGCCTCAAATTAATCATCTGCAATCTGCACCTACTGCTTCGAGTATAGACTTGAAACCATCCCTTTCCAAGCACTCCGACAATTCAGCCTGGGTGAAGATACAAGCACATCAAGGTGGACAGCAAAAATGGATAGAAATTAGAAAAATGATGAATCTGAATAGATAAGATGTAAATGCTTAAGAATCTCATGTAAAAGAAATAGCCTAATAAACAGACCTTCATTTGTGGAATTAGGGCGGGACCCCCATAAGCAAATGCTGTGTAAAGCTGAAGAAGAGAAGCACCAGCTCTTATTTTCTTGTATGCATCTTCACCACTGATTAGGGAAAAACAAAATTAGGAAAGGAACGAGAATGCCGGCAATAGTTCTGACAACATGATGCCAAAAGAGCTTTTTACCTGCTTATACCCCCACAGCCTATCAGAGGTATTTTTCCCTGGAAAATTATAAATAACAGTTTAAGCAAATTCGCAAGAAATAAGACCACAGCAAGTTGTCCATGCACAATACGATACATACAAAGGGCCGTCGTACAGTACACTGGAAATTGGCATCCTCCTTGCCATATGTGAGTGTTTAAAAGGCACATATCTTTTATCCACAAGTAAAAAGATCACTTTTGCATTCTTAACAATGCCTAGAGCCCAAAACCCACCAAAAAGTAATTTTTTATCCTTTACGACTATAATGGTGGGGGCATCTGATTAATTCCTACTTGAGCCAAAACCACCGATTCCAATCATGCTAACCATGAATAAGTCCATATTCTCAAACGATCAAGCAGCATCGATAAAATAAGCCACACAAGAGATGAGAGTCCAACATACCCGTGTTAAAATGTACATCTCCTTCAAGATTCTGGTAGACAAGTTAAAGAGAGGTTTGCCACTCAAACCACCTGCCTCCTCAGACACTGGACTTTTGTTCACAGGATCTGGTCGAGAGATGGTTGTATTTGATATGATCTAGAGAAAAAAAATAGAAGTGTAGTTTAATCTAGACAAATTAAACAAGGTCTTTCAAAATGGCATAGCAACAAGACAAAATAACACTGTCCGACAGCAGTTACTCAACGCATACTATATTGATAAGACAGCACTATAAGAGAACATTTTGTAGACATGTATAATAATCACGTGTAGTTAAAATAGGGTTTCAAGTATAGCATGACCGAAAATTTTCAGGACAGTTTCTACTCCCAAAATGTGAAGACTAGTAGGGAAAGGCAATGCCCCGGATTGATGAATAGTTTGAGGACTGAAACTTGTTACAAGGAGCTATAGTTGGAACAAAAACGTCCTCAACATATCTTTCCTGGCTAAGCACTGCAAGAATCTATCAGGCATCCATTATTGCCCTCCTCTAAAGTGTGACAGATTTAAGAAGTCATGAAATGATAGCCATTTGGTAGCTGGCAGTTTTATTGGTAAAGAACATTGCTATTGGCTCCAACCCCTCAATGTGTCATGCAGGAAGCACAAAAAAATTTGTTTTTCATGGTAGAAACTTCTAACTGTTCTGAGTCATAGGTGGCTGTCCTATCTAAATTTATAGTAGAGCAAAGCATACTTTTCCGATTTGATTCTTTCTATTCAATTGATTCCATATTTCTGCTACAGCTGTGCATGAAGTAATTGACAGTCAACAACTATAAAGAGACTTCCTACGATTATATTCATGTGAGGTTAGTTTATTCAACCAACCCACATCTAACTGAGAAAAGACGATTGGAAAGCCCAGAAAGGAAATTTTACCAATCCATCCAGGCGGAGAGCAAGAGCTACCTGTAATGAAGAGCAAAAAGACATCAAGAACGTTAAATGAAAGAAATAAGAAAAAGCATGTTAAACAGTAGGACAAAACTGCATACCGCTGCAATGTCCTCAAGGTCTTCTCGAGACAAGTCAGGAGCAATTTTAACAAGTAAAGGAGGGGGACCCTCCTCACCCCATTGCATTTCATCACGAGCAGCTTGAATCTTAAGAAATATGATATTAACAAGACCTGCATCTAATAATGGTATTTTAGAGTAAACTCAGACTACTTGTACCTTCTTAACAAGGTCTTTTAACTGCTTTCTTCCCTGGAGCATACGCAATCCCGGAGTATTTGGTGATGAAACATTAATAACCTGCAAACAAACAGCATGTGAATGGTCAAAACAATGGTTCCTAGAAGATCAAGATTGACTCAAATTCCAGGTTACCATGATTTACGGACGCATTCTCAGTATAATTAAGAGTTTCTTATTAATCACCGCATCAAGCAAGGCCAGCTAGTAGTATTGCAGGCCAGAACTAATGCAACTTGCACAAATGAAAATTCTCATGAAGCATAACAAATTATCTACCAAGTAATCAGCATACTGCGATAATGTATGGACCCCCTGTACGTAATCTGCAGCAGCATCTTCACTTGTCTTATTTTTCCCAAGATTTACACCAAGAATACCAGGACCAGCTTTTCCTCCATGTTTTACTTCCTCAATGGATGAAGGGGATGTGCTTGAGGTCTCATCCAACTTTCTTTTACCATGCTGGGCACCCAGTCGCTTAGCAACAGCAACTATGCCTTCGCTGTTGAAGCCACAGCGATTTATGATAGCACTGTTCATAAATAAAAAAGGAAGGTATAAATATCCTCAAAGAAACAAAGGCAAGGTTGAAATGTTTACACAATCATATTAAGAAACTCCGTGCTGCTTATAAGGCATTCACCCTTTAATTCCAGGGGAATTTTATGTAGAAGATGACTTAATAGCCTAAATTAACACAGCAACATCATTATCAAATTGACAATGAGAAAATGAATTAATTCTCACCCTTCTTCACGCAATCTGAAGATGCGCGGCTTTGGATTACCCTCCTGTGGTACTGGCGTGACAGAGCCCACCTCTACAAATCCAAAGCCCATCCCTAGTAAACCCTCAACAGCCTCAGCATTTTTATCGAAGCCAGCAGCAAGGCCTATGGGATTGGAGAACTTCCTTCCCCAAACTTCCAGCCCTAAATTTGCCGGATCAGGCCGCTTCTCCCTAGGAACCCAGCCACGAGAAGCAGCTGTTACAGCTAGTTTATGGGCAAACTCAGCATCTAGAAGAGCAAAGAACGGATTCACTAGTTTGGTTGCTGAGAACAGCCATCCACTGGAAATTGAAATGATGTAAAGGTAAATCTCATAGCCAAAAATGAAGAGACGTTCAAAATATATCTAAAGAACGACAAGTACCAGAAAGTTGCTTCATCTACAGTACTCACATAAGCTCCACCGGCTATAACCAGGCCTATAGTGGCTCCCGTCAGCAATCTCCCCTACAGTTGTTTTGAGACCAATTTTACATGTCAAAGTCATAAATGTCTTTAAAGTTGCAATGAGAATAATATGTGGTCTGACAAATTAAAGCTTGAGCAGGATCTTTGGAAAAGTAATAATCCAATGGAACTGAATAACTGTTATATGTTAAACAGGCAAATTAAAGCTTGAGCAGGTCTGACATTTGAACATGCTGAATTAAACAGGCAAATTGCACTTTACACAACAACATATTAAGTTATATGTTAGAGAGAAGCATTTTGATTGGTATTTATATGGCACCGGCGTCGCGAGGCAATAATCAACTTCTCATCTCCAACAGGCAACAATAAGTTCAGAAAACTATTCAACAGAGAAAATTAAGCACAGAAGAGCCAAAATTAGGGTAAACTATCTCTAGTTTCCAGACTATGCCAAACACAGAACTACTTTCCTCAGAGAAGAAATTTTAAATTAATTTCAAGAAAATGGAAATATGACAAAAGCTTAAACTATCCCTGGACAAACCTACTTTGGTAATAGCAGTCCAATGCCCACTGACATCTCAAATTCCTTAACGCATCATGTACAGATAGTGACAGAAGAACATTAAAAAACCAGCATTTGAAAAACCAAATGATGTCAAAATTACAGGTTGGCAGATTCTATCAATAACTTATGCTTAGCTTTAACTCATGCTAACAGAACTCAACTTGCACTTGCATCGGAATCGCTATATTTGCGTTCGCACGACTTCCGTTTCATTCCTTCTAGATATCTATTGTCTCCGGTCCTAAATCCATCCGTCTTTGGCCAATTCTTACTTTCCGAGTAATAATTAGTTCTTCCAATGCCAATAAAGTCATAAAGAGGCCTAACCATAAGATCGGTGACCAATTTTGAACTATGAAACCCAGGTTCAGCAGCCAAGTTTCAACTTTTAAAAATCACAACGCTAAGTCGTAATCGCCATTTTTGACCCGAAGGCCAACAAATTAAACACAAGAATCCTAGAGCAAATACTTCACTCAGTCGCCCAAAATGAAAGTTTGATCAGGGTAATGCTAAAAAGCAAGCCTTTTTTACACAAATTTGACCCAGGACAAAAGAAAAAAAAAAGAGAGAACTTTGAGCTCACTTTCTTGGAGAAATGCGGGATTTTTGGAGAAGATTCCGCAGCGGAAGAGCAATGCCGGCAGCTCCCGACGGAACTCGAAATCGCCCTCTTGGTGATATAATCAGAAATGAGCTTCCTTGAAGCCCTCGCAGCCATGACTCCGAATCGACGACGACTTGAAGCCAAACAACCAGCTGAGCTAGTTCAGAAATGCATGCAGGGAAAGTCGAGAAGCTACTGCAAGAAATTGGGAGAGATAGGGTGGGGGGGGGGGGGAGCTACAGAAGAGAAAGAGAGAGGTGAAAGAGGAGACGGTGAGGGGTTTTAGCGCACGGAGAGAGAGAGGCCGAGGTTGTTTGTAAAACCCTGATTCCTCGCGCCCCCACGCTCGTGTATCGTGCGACTTGCGAGCTGTCCCCACCTTTTCAGCGTTCGCGTTAGGCTTTTGGAAACATCGGACCCGGTTCCATTTGTCGGGGCCATCCGGGTCTGTTGCGGTGAAAGGTGTGCATCGGCCTTGATTCAATTTGGAAACCAGATTGGACCTACGGTTCTAGATGATTTCTTGAAAAATCGAACCGATTCTCAATTCCAAATTTTTGAAACCTTATCCATCCTCTCTAATTCTACTTTCTTTCTTTTTTTGACTTTGGCTTTGCTTTTTGGCAAAGCACGGGAATCGAAACTTACACTTATGATATTAACATATTCATTCTCCGATCCCTTTATCAGTAGGGCCGCATGCAAGTAATCCTAATTAGTAATTTTTTTTTAAATGTTTAGGAAACTATCATAAGAAATAGAAGAAATCCAAAAAAAGAAGAAGAAATCATCGGTTCCAAGATCAGGTGGGTCGGTTTTCGGTTTCACAAACATAGAATCTATCCTGCCCGGTCCTGTTTCCAGTTTGAGGGTGGAAATCTATTCGCCCTGAAATTAATCACCCATATTGGGTGTGGATGGACGAGCGGTTGGGGTCGGGCTTTTTGTGATACTCGCTAGGCCCAAAGAGACCGGGTTGATTGAGCCCGAGGTCAAGCAGAAAAGTTCATGCTCTCGCCTACCCGTTGATCGAACGACAAAAGGGCACGCACTTGGTTTTTTCTCGGAGAATTAAACGAGAGCGACCTTTAAACAAAACAGTAATGAATTCATAAGCACAAAAGCCTAAGCATCGGCTAATCATAAAATCAAACACGTTGCGGACAACTGGACCTTGGTTTCTCCGTCTTTCTTGGAGATGGGACAAGTGTCCGTCGATCCCACCAACAGCCTAACCACTTCCTCGAACTTGTTTATTATCCCGGACAGATCTGAAGTCCCGCCAGCTGTTGCCGATCATTCTCTGCTTTCTCTGACCACCCCTGGTCGGGATTTGCAACGCCTGTTTTCATAGCTCGGCGCCGGAGGAAATGGCGAATCTTGCACCGAGTTTCGTTTCTCTCCCCTCTGAATCTTGCAGGGGATCACTACTTGGAACGACCCGGGTAGGTTCTCTATCTCTCAATCTTTCGCGCTCTGAGTCTGAGATATGTCCAATCTGTGCTTGAATTTTTTTATCTCCTGTTTGTTGTTGTTGATGCAGATCTCTGCTATTAAGCTCAAAGTAAGGGAAACTGAGCAGACCCATTTAAAATTAGGATCTTCTTCCAGGTAATTCAGTGCCGTATTTGGTTTTTTCTGCTGAAAGCTTTGTTTATGTGGTGAATTGGCTGCTGCTAGTGCTATCTCCATATGCATTGATAGTCTATGCTTGTTGGAGCTCTCACTTTTGTTAATTTTGTGAGCAATGTTGATTAAGGTAGTTGAACATGTTGGATTAGTAGGTCGTAAAATATGTTGTAACATAGACAATGTCGTTTTGGTATGTCGGAAGCATGTAGGCACAAACAACTCTGTAGAGCGAAAAATCCGAACTTTGTGTGAATATGAATTTTCATGATTTGAGGTCTATTGAATACCGGTCGCATTACTGCTGTGCCTAACTATGGACTTCCTGTCCAGTTGTTGATGCAACAGCTATTTGGCGTCAGCAATTTGGTTAAGCGCCTTTTTTCCTATGGAGACTTTAAATAGACCATATGATGATACGTAGTTCGTATTAGAGCTCCTCCTTGGGCTTTCTCACTCTCTCCCCTGTTGAACCACTCTTCATCAACATAACAGGACTCTGTGCTCTTTATTTTTGGATTCGATGGAAGGAGCAAGTAGTACATTGGTAACCACTCTTAACCAGCAACTTCTTGTTGCTTGCGTTTTTTCTCTCTTGACTGGCTACACCACAAGGGAATGTCTCAGCCTCCTTCGTTGCAGATTGCCACATTCATATGACCTGCCTTTTGCCAGTTTCTGGAAATATGAAATTAATACAACACTCACATGCCTATTGAAGCTTTGAACTTATTGATTTTGTGATACCATCGATTTCTATCTGTCTAGGAAGCTTATTGTCCCTAACTAGAAGTTCTTAAATCTTCTGCCCCACTCCTAAAATTCATGTAATGTGAGTGAAATTGTTGTCTGCATGTTCGTGAATGGCACATTTATCACATAGTAGAAAGTTTTCTAATTTTTATTATTTGGTGGTTTATTTTTAGGAGATGTTGTACATTTATGATTACGTACGACTACAATGCAACATTCAGGGTTGATCCTAAGAGATAAGAATGCTTCTTTTTTGTTGGTTCCCATGCCTGACCAAATCTTTGGCTGCAATGTACTGATAAATATGTTTTCGCCTCTGCACATGTTTTGCTTGGTTGTTTGCAGGAAGAAGCAGGGTTTAAGAAGGAATGCATCAAAGGAGACTCCAGGACTGATGCACGGAATTAGGAAAGATGAATACAAGACTGCAGAACAAACAGAAGGATATGACTCGTTCAATGAGATGAAGCAACGGTTTCTGACTTTTAAAGAGAAGAAATACTTGTAAGAGCTTCTTACTTAACTACTTTCTACTTGTATTGACCACTGAAATTTAATGCTTTATGATGAGCAGTGAGGCTTAGGCATATCTTATTTTGTGCTAGCAGGGAAAATTTAGAGCTCTATCACCGTCTTGCCGAGAGTCAAGCACCTGAGGTATAGCATAGCTATATTTCTTTAAATGTATATATAGACATCCACTTTTTGTGTGTGTTTCCCTTGCTCAACAATTCGATGTATTTGTCTTCAACTTTTTGCTTCAGATATCTTGCTTTAAGAATAAGACGTACATATCTCTTGAACTAACTCTTTCAAACAACAGTTCATGGTGATTGCTTGTGCAGATTCCAGGGTTTGTCCCTCTGTCATCCTAGGATTGGAACCTGGGGAAGCCTTCACGGTTCGGAATGTGGCAAATCTTGTGCCGCCATTTGAGGTGCTTACTTGGCATTTTGCAATGGTTTTTCTTTGTTTCGGGTTTTCTCCTTCTCCTTTCTTTTTTTAAACTTATTATACTGTTTGATGACTTGAGTATGAAGATTTTGGTGTGGTATGGGATGGGAGGCATCAGGTCTGCTACTTAGTGGTAAAAAATACCATAATTTATGCTTCCTTCCTCTTTTTCCCTTATGTGTGCAGAGCGGACCATCAGAAACCAATGCCGCGCTAGAATTTGCTGTAAATTCTCTTAAAGTAAGTAATTCAACCTAATGGCATGCTTGCCTTCATTATTCTGGTACATATTGTGAAAGATCATAGTTAAAATTGTACCATTAAGTCGCTTTCCCTTGTTGTAGATTTAAGTGGGAAATTTCACCTAAAATTTCGGTGCTGTTTACTTGTGATGCTCTTGACAGAACTTTGAGGACTTTCAGGGAAAATGTATCTCACTGAGGAAAATTTTCCCATAGAAGAACTTTGAGTGTTACAAAACTGGGAAGAGAATGATGTGGAGTGGCAGTGATGATGCTGATACTTTGTTTCTTTTTCTATATGTGGCGAAGATAGAGGCGAAATGTTGAAATTGCATGACTGTATCTTAGGCGAAAAGTTTCATGAGATTGTGATTGAACCTCATATAGTTCAGGGATTGTAAGGATAATACGCTCTACTAGTGCATTTAGTTTTAATTTTTTCTCCTGGTATCGTAATTTAGATTTGGAAAATAATAGTTTCTTTGCACAGGTGAAAAATATACTAGTAATTGGCCACAGCTGTTGCGGGGGCATTCGCGCACTGATGAGCATGGAGAATACAGATGGAGATAATTCAAGGTTGTGGTGTTAAAAAATATTCTAATTCTCCTTCAGTTGCAGCTAGTCAGCTTTACCTATTCATTCTATGTTCTCATACAATATGTCTCCTTCCAGTAGCTTCATCAGAAGTTGGGTTATAGTTGGGAAAAATGCTAGACTAAGCACCAAGGAAGCTGCTTCTCACCTCAGTTTAGACCAGCAGTGCAGGCACTGTGAAAAGGTAGGAGACAACTCGTAACAACTGGATTTGATTTGTATAAGATAACACTTTGAAATCACGAACAGCATTGGTCTAATGCCTCGAAACTGCTTCTGAGTGCAGGAATCAGTGAATCGCTCGTTGCTAAATCTGCTCACTTATCCATGGATAGAAGAACAGGTGATGAGGGGAAACCTCTCTCTCCATGGCGGCTACTATAATTTCGTCGATTGCTCGTTTGAGAAATGGACACTGGATTACTATAAAACCATTTCGAGAGGAAATAAGGACACGATTGCAGTCACTGGTCGCTCATTTTGGAGCTGAGTCTTACTCTTCACGTGTCCTTTACCTGTACGATAAACTGCAATTCTAAGTTAATATGGTTGGCCAAGGAACTTTCTTTTGTTAATAATGCCAGGCTCTGCCGGAATGGCATTGGCAAATGCTCTTATGTATTGTCTGTGACCAAACGATTATGTATGAGGAATTGAAGTTTCAAATGAATCTGAAACTTGAATTGTGCCATGATGTACCAGAAAAGCATGATATTCTGTAAATTTTGGTGGGTCTCAACTTTTCCTTGATTAAATACCTGCTTAAACTTCGAAGGTTCTGCTTAGAGAAGGAAATATCGAGTCGATCCACAACACGAAATTGATCATTTTTGCATGGCAAGTTACAATCAAAGAGCCAAAAACTGTTAGCTTCGCTTCCATCGTACTTCCAATTTGCAGGAAAAGTGTCAAAGTGTCAGAAAAGTTCTAAATCTTTTGCATTGCCAATTTAATCTTAAACCTTTTTTTTATGTCAATTTAGTCCTAAACCTTTTAATATAGTGCCAATTCAATCCTTCCAGCTAATTTTGACCGAATTTTGCTGATGTGGACGCCGGCCGGCGCTAACGTGAACAACTTTTAATAATTTTTTTTAACTTTTACTTATTTTTTTCTTTTCTTTTTCTTTTTTTTCCTCCCCTCCCTCCTTCCTCTAGCCGGTCGCCGATGCTAAAGGCCGGAAAACCACGCCTGCCATTGGCGAGGGTGTCACCAGTGACGGCGAAGGTGAGCCTCACCCAGTCATGGCAAGGGTTGGAGCCTTGCTAGCCCAGCGCGAGGCCGCCATCACGGCCATCCAGTGAGGGCGAGCCTCACTAGCCTCTGGCCTTTGGCCAATCCCCGGTCCGGCGACTGGCTAGAGGAAGGAGGGAGGGGAGGAAAAAGAAAAAGAAAAATAAAAAGAATAAATAAAAAATAAAAATTCAAAAAAATATTAAAATATTATTAAAAGTTGTTCACGTCAGCTTTGGCAGCTGGCCGTCGGCCGACCGACGCCCACGTCAACAATATCCGGTCAAAATTAGCCGGAAGGATCAAATTAGTACAAAGACAAAATGTTTAGGACTCAATTAGCACAAAAAAATGATTTATGACTCAATTGGCACCAATGCAAATGTTTAAGGATTTTCTGACACTTTTCCGACACATTTCCCTCCAATTTGCTCGCACAAAATTTAGAAGCAAAGGTTTCAAAGATCTGGCCCTTGTTCTATCTACATTGGGGGAAGTTGAATTGGGATCTTCTTTGAAGATGATGGCAAACTTTCCCCAACGGTCTTGTAGCATGGACAAGATGTAAGAAGCAAGAACTCGGCAAAGTTCTGTTGTGCGATCTCTAATGTATTAATGTGGGTACGTAGTCCCACATCGGCAGCCAAAAGAATATAATCACACTTTCCGAATGACTTTTGAAATGCGGTATAGATTATGAAATGAAATCAAGCAAGAAGATCTTACAACTTTCTTGCTTATTTAGGAAAAAGAAATAAGGGCAAATGATCGAGCGGCTGGTTAGAGCTCCTAAACAGTATTTGCTTCCCTCTCTATGGTAGTATAGATTTGTAGCAACAATCCCATGACATATCTTGCAATCTGGCTATATGAATCATCCTTAGATTCGTTCATCCAAATGTTAATACTCCCGTTGATTGGTAAACTTAGATGTTGGTGTCTTGTTCCGGCATCCGATTGGTAAACTTAGATATTGGTGTCTCGTTCCCGCATGATCCTCAACAGTGAAAAGAATTGACAACCCCTGAAGTAGTTGGACGAAGCTACATCCCTGCAACACCTTCAAAAGTACTGTGCATCGTTATGTATATGGCTAATGCAATTTCAATATGACATTGCTCGCATTGATAGTTAATCAACCTATGTCCTTATTTGGGAACATGAACCCGCCACATCTGCTTTAGAAACCTCCTCGATAAAGTTGATAAAGTTGAGACGTGGCCAGGAACTTAGCGTAGCGAGCCACATTCTAGCTTTAGTGATTGAACCAATGCATCAGAAACTTTTAACTTCTGAATTGTCTACTTTTATTGATAGAAAGAGAGCCGTGTAATCGTAGGGGGCGTGATTGCCCGTCCAAGAAAAAGAACGATCATACATTTCACCTACCTGATGACATATTCAGTGATCTAATCCATTTTTGGCAACAAGACTTGGAGGTGTTTGATTGGATCTTTTGAACTTGTGGAAGCAAAGACAGATAGGAAGTTGAACAATCTCTACTGTTCAGATCACCCCATGTCCTAGATCCTCTCGAATCTCCTCGTCCCCCGACTATAAATCAGTGCGAATTTTGCACTTCAGAGCCACACTCACACGCCTCGAACAATCATTCTCGTACCCTTCTCAAAGGATAGCAACTTGAACCAATGGCAAACCAATTATCCCTCGTCAAATGCGCCCTCCTGTTCGTCGCGCTCTCTCTCCTAAGCGGCAGTGCCAACTCGGTCCGAGCACGCCATCTCCTCGACACATCGCTGCCGGAGATCCCCAAGCCCGAAATACCTGGCCTCCCGGAAATCCCATCCCTACCCAAGGTCGAACTCTCGCCTCTCCCCGAAATCCCAACCTTGCCTAAGCCCGAGCTGCCAAGCTTCCCAGTTCCTGAATTCCCAAAAGTGCCAGACTTCCCTTCGATCCCTTCGATTCCGAAGGACTTACCCGTGCCTTCCGTGACCACCACTAACCCTTGAAATCATGATCATTACATGGCCTAATGATGCCATTATAAGTTACTGCTGAAATCTGTATTTCATGATCATTACATGGCCTAATGATGCCATTATAAGTTACTGCTGAAATCTGTATTTCGCATGTAAGGTCGAATATGATGAAGTGGTGAAGATGGGTGCGGTTTGTATGATATCGTCATGTGTTACTCCTAGAAAGAGTGACGTTCTAGGAAGTATTTGATATCGTGCTTGGGGTATAGCTTTCTAAGAGGCCTATTTAGACTCTATGAGTGTATAATTTCATGTAATTCTATATGATACAAGAAGAATTTGTCATATATATGTTCATTTATGTCAACTACCATTAATTCGTAATGTCCTGCGCTCATTTTAATCTCTTCGTGACTCTCAACAAGCGTTGACAATGTCTATGCAATAGAGCGCGCTAGAATTATGCGAGGACTAATTAGTTTGGATAAATCGAAACCGTATGTGATGCATCAATCAAGGCAAATTTCTAATTTCAGGGAAGAAAGAAAGAAAACAATATCTGGAAAATTAAAATGAAATATTTCTAGTCGTGGCACAAAGCCAACTTTATCAGATTGCTACGATAACACTTGCATAAATATTCCGAATTAGTTTAATCGTGGATAAATGCACAGAAAGATGCTTCAGTGCAATTTGATTAAATTTAGAATTAGAATTAATCTGGTCACGCGACTCACACCCTTGATCGACTTGAGCTTGTACATGGCAAAGCATTTCAGTTGCTGATGAAATAAAGTAGAAAGATAATTAATCTCTACTCTGGAGCCTTCAATGTATTCACATGAATTTTCACATAGATTGTTAAATCATAATTTTCTCCGCGAGTTTAATTTACATGATCACTTTTTGATGAGGTCTAATCGATGTATAATTTGCCTCTCGAACAACTTATTGCTCGGAATTTTGCCAAATTCCCTCTTCTCAAGTCCCAATGTTTAGTTTAATTGAGTCAAATTTATAACCAACTCAAATTTTATCAATTGTTAGAATATCCAATCCAAAAATTTAAACTGAGTGGGATTAACACCCGTTTTCCCATCCAAGCAGAATGCCAGATACACGAAATAAACTGGGTCAAACCAAACTCGGTTCTCCCATATCATGTTAGAACGTCAAACCAAAAAGTTTAAATCGATAAGTAGAATGAGACACGTGTATATGAATAACACATAAATTTCGTTGATAAACGATGTGGAATTAACAGTAGTTACCTTACTTCGTCACAAGCTTGTAGGCGCAATGTCATTTAAGGGAAAATAAAAGATCAGAGATAGCATGAAATTTAATTAATTTTTTATATTGGCTAAGAAAAGTGGTACTCTGTTTCACTCCTAAAAAGAAATTTCTTTGCCTGTGTGCATAGACACCTAACTCCTCCAACCCAATCAGACACCGACTGTCAAAGGTTGTCTAGAAACGAAAGTACGAAGCGAACACCAGCACTGAATCTTTGATCATAACGCTAAACTGCCTAACCAAAAGCTAGAAGAGCAACCCTCGTTGAACGGAGGATTACTCGGAATCGATCATGTGGAAATAATAATTAAGTCATGACAAACTCCATTTGACATTGGATTTAGCAATGTAAAATTGAGATTGCAAGGCCAAGCTTGACTTCATGGACGACGCCTATCGAAATTTGACATTTTGTCTTTAATTATGGAAAACTGAGACGAGGAGGTGAGCTAACAAGAATGCCAAACCAAGATTGCAATTTTTTCTTAACCATATCAATGGCAAGTCACCAACCTCACAACCCAAAATCACACATTCTCTTCCTATATAATCCCAACATCCATCCCTCAAATTCCTCACTCAACAAATTGGCAAATTGCATTGCTTGCAACACCGTTTCATCGCATCAATCCGATCCCAATCGCCAATGGCTTTCTCCAAAAGCTTCGTGTTAGTACTTTCCGTTGCTGTTCTCTTCTCGAGCATCAATGTGAGCTCGGGGGCTCGTCATCTGCTACAGGCCGGTCTCCCATCGATACCGACCTTGCCCACCATACCCACTTTGCCGAATCCGGCGGCAATACCCCCATTGCCGGCAATCCCGACATTGCCGAAGGTAGTGGTGCCGCCCATGCCCGCCATCCCAACTCTGCCTCAGCCCACATTGCCAACCCAGCCTTCTCTCCCCAAGGTCACTCTGCCTCCGATGCCAAGCGGCATCCCTTCATTCCCTAAAATCCCTTCCATCCCCTTCCTCGCCCCACCACCATCATCCTAGACGGCTAGCCCTTGAGAGTGTCCGTGTTGCGACCGATGAGATTTCAGCGGTGAACGTATTAGCGTCCCTCCTGTTGGTGGAACGATGTTGCTTGTGCTATATGGTCATTATTTTGTACGCATGATTGGGAGTTTCTCCTTCTTTTTCTTCTTTTTTTTATTTGTGTGCACGATTGACATATGTTCAGAGTCAGTTCTTTGTATTGAATAAAAGTTTTTCAGTGATGTTTATGTGGTGTTGTACTAGTTTGGATA